ACATATTCAGTGGCGTTAACTGTGGGAGTGCACAGTAGCACTCAGAACAACTTGCTTTTCCTGAGCTTGAACACTCCCCATATTCCATGGGAAAAACTTACACAGAGCACAAGAAAGCTCAAGAAATTTAGTGACTTCTGCCTCCACTGGAAGATGAAAAAAGGCCGTGTGACACCATCCATCTAAAATTAGGGAATGATATCACATCCCCATCCTTTTCGGCATCTACCAGGGTCTTTTTATGAAAAAGAAGTCACCGTAATCTCACCACTGGTATCTGCAACTCAACAAAAATTCCCACCAAGCCATCACTGTTTTTTAAGGAACCCCAGTAAATATGTTATAGAGGGAAGAGTTAGCTACCATAAGGTCAATGCACAGCTGTGGAGCCATCAAGAGTGAAAGACTGTGGATTCATATCACCAAAGACAGGCTCCACTCTGCTCTTCCCAGATCAGACACAGAATGCCCAAGTCCGCTCTGCTCACACATGTATGTGAGTGAACTCTGCATCTTCTAACCTTTTTCCACTGTAGCACCAGACGGGTGACAAACAGAGGGGTTAGACTGGGAAGCAAGCCCATAGCTGAGGTCCACCAAGCACAGGCTGCTGCCCGCTGTACCCCTGTTCAGGCAGCACATCTCACACTGGGCTCGTCCTGAAAAATTAACCAACCTGCATTCTCCTGCTGGGGGGACAGACCTTGAGCTGGGGCTACGGGTCAGAGCTCCCCGTGCAAAGCCCTGGCTGCCAAAGCTGGCAGTACAAGCACAGGGCTTAGACTTGTCCCTGGCAAGCCCCGAGCCTTCAACCACACTTATTTCAGCCATGAAGAAGCTGTTCTGCTAAGTCACATCCACAGGGCTCTTCATCTGTTTGCCGACGGAAACAGGAAAATGTGTATGCTTAAAATTAGCAGCCTTCTCTCCACTCCCCCATAAGCTGTCTGAGCTTCCTTTACATAAATAAAAAACGAGTCTGTTTTAGTCTTTAATTTCAAACGTTCTGCAGAGACAAGTCACATCACAAGAAGTAACTCATCTTCCTTCCAGTACTTACAAATAAACATAGTCTCATCGCTGCCATCTTCAGCCATTTTTCAAACCTGCCAAAACACAAAAGATGAAGTTAGTTCTGAATGAGTTTTACTTTCACCATATTAGTGAAACATCCCGTTACGGAGTGATGATGCTGACTGACCCAGAGCACACCCAAACACACCCCTGGCTCCTGCAGGGACAGAAAAGGAAAAGCCCCCAGTGACTGCTGTATCGTTACATGTGTTGCTGAAGTCACTTGCAAGAAGCCCAAATGGAGCTTCACGGGCACCTCTCTCTAGGAAACGCCATCTTAAGCAGCTCCCCTCCTGCCAACCTCCAGCCATTTCTCTGCAGCTCTGCACCCTGTGTTAGAAGCTCTTGTGGAACCTCAGAACAAGCAACATCATATTGAACGGTAGATTAAAAATCATCTGTGAAGGGTTGGATTACTGATTTAATAAACACAAAAGCCTACACTCTGCAGATACAGATCTGTTCCAAAGGCAAATGTACGTGTTGGTAACAAGCATCAGGAAACGGAAAATCAAATCCCGTCTCTGTCACTGACCTGCCATGAAATGGTAAGCCACCAATTTGCTTTCACCTGTGAAACAAGGATAATCCATATTCACTTTCATAAACCAGTTTTGGCAGTATGTATTAAAAACTCACATAAGCACTATTTATTGCTCCTCGATGTCTAGACGATCTGAAATCCTTTTGGCAAGCAGCCTGTGATTATGCATGACTAAGATCACTCAAGTGGGCTCTAGAAGACAGCTTTCCCTTTTCGAACCTTGAAATTCTCCTCTTCACATAAGGAATCTTCCCAATGCCCCAGCAAGAGGCAAAGCAACACGAAGATCCTGACCTAAGTCCAAGAGAGAATGTGGCTGCAGAAACAGCAAGTACAGCGGTCAAGAAGAAAACAGGCAAGAGCCTGAACCTGTGAGGAGGAGGAGGACAGAGGAGAGGGAAGGTGACCAAAGACACACCAGGCTGGCAGAGCCCTGTTTGAAAAAAGGCCTAAAATTTGCTACTGCAACAACAAAAACCTCTCCAAAGATGTGCACAAGCCTGGGCACCCCAGCCTTCCTGCACGGCCCTCCCAAATCCTTCCTCTCACCAGCAGCACGGCCCCTCCTAGTAAGGGGCTATCGCTGCCAACGCAGCACCAGCCGTTTATGGCTCCTGGGGAATAAACACACATAACAAGACATTTACACGTTTATACAGACGTCTGGTGCTGGGAAGAAGCAGCAATTCAGGGAAATTCCCCAAAGCTATCTTCCTGAAAACAGATAGGCAACGAAACAGGTATTTAGTGCACCTGGGGTGCACTAGTACAAAACAAGCCATAGAAATTGAACTGATGGCAAGAATGGTTTGCTTCCTAACCAAGATGCTCTGTGGATGCTCCGCACTATTTCAAGAAGTGTATGTCCAGTTCTTTTTAGACAGTTTGTGTCCTGACAAGACTTTCATCCTAAATACGGCTGAATTAACAACTACCAGAGCACCAAGGTCGATCTTGCTCTAGCAGCCCTAAGATCAGAATAGCAATAAAGTGTGGGGGGAGAAATCATACTGGCATAAATACCAGTCAAGGTGATGGAGAGAAACTGCCGAGGTCCCTCACACGTACCTCACTTAATTGATGAGACTCTGTATTTCAGCTATCATCTGCACTAGCTTAATTTTCAGTTTTGTAGCGAGCGTTTTCCTTTTCCACAGAGCAAACTTTCTGAGTCAGCCTCCATCTTTCCTGCACTCAGCACACTGACCTGCTGTGCTCTGAAAAAAAAAACACAACAGGAACGGGCATTAGGCGTCAAACCCATCCGCGCCCCTGTGTGCAGGTGCAGGAGGAGCACCGACCGCCTTGCACCGCTACGAGCTCCGGAGGGGTTGTCTTCCCCTTCCTCATTTATGAGAAGCGTGAAGAAGGAAGGACGCCAGAAGTGGGTTTCAGGATGCCGATGTGCACATACACAAGCTCTCACCTGCGGGCTTCAAAACCCTTCAAAACCCTTCACAAACCCCAGGGGTTTTGAGCCCGGTGCCATGATGTCATCACGCGGCCGCACCGGGCACACGCTCACTTCACAGGGCTTACTTCACCTTTTATCTCCTGTTCACTCTGGGCTATATATATATATTTTTTATTCAGGGCTCTTTTTTTTTTAATTATTTTGAAGCATTTCTGTCAGAAAAGTCTTACGTGAAGCCACCCGTCCCACTGCACCGAACTACCCTGCCTCGCACGGGGAAAAACCACAGCCGGCGAAGAAAACTCCCTTTTATTTCCCACGTAAATACGTGCCGCTCTCTCTGTATCTTTCACATTCAATAAAATAAAACAAGATTTTATATATATACGTATATTTTTCCACACAAAGGGGCAGCGGTGGCCAGGCGGCCACAACCCAGGTGGAAACGCACCCGGGGGGGGGGAGGGGGACACCCTCCCGTACCCTCAGAGCGGGCGGGCGCCCCAGCAGCCGTTAAGGGCCGTTAAGGGCCGTTAACGGCCGCCGCCCGTCAGGGAGCCGGCGGAGGGCTCCCGCTGGGGCCCGAGCCGCGATCCGGGAGCGGCTCCGCCGGGTTTTGCCTCGGACCCGCGGTGCTCGCCCCCCTCCCTCCCGGCGGCGCGGCCGCTGTAACAAAGAACAGGCGGCGTGGAGGCGGAGGAGGAGGACGGGGAGGAGGGGACGGAGGGGACGGAGCCGCCGCCGCCGCCCGGAGCCCGCCCCCGCCGCCGCCGCCACGGCCCCGGGAGCCCCCGGGGGGGGGGGGAGAGAGGGGAAGGGAGGGAGGGGGGGGGGGGAGAACCGGGAGGGGGGGGGAGGGGGGGCCGCGCGCGCGCGCGGGGTGGGGAGGGGAGGGGAGGGGGGGGTGTGGGGGGGGTGCGCGTGGCGGCGGCGTTACCTGCCCCGGGAACGGCCCGAGCCGGATCGGATCCGGGCTCCGGGTTCCGTCCGATCCGCTCCGGAAACCACGCGGCGGCGGAAGATGGCGCGGCCGGGGCGCGGGGCACGCTGGGAGATGTAGTCCGCGCCCGGCCCTCACCCCCTCCCCTCCCCTCCCCTCTTCCCCCTCTCCTGGAGGGGCTCAAGGCCAGGCTGGATGGGGCTTTGGGCAGCCTGGGCTGGGGGGAGGTGTCCCTGCCCATGGCAGGGAGGTGGATCCAGGTATCCTTTAAGGTCCCTTCTGACCCAAACCAGTCTGTGATGCTCTGGTCAGGAGTTACACAGAATCACAGAGTTTCTAGGCTGGAAGAGACCTCAAGATCATCGAGTCCAACCTCTGACCTAACACTAACAGTCCCCACTAAACCATATCCCTAAGCTCTACATCTAAACGTCTTTTAAAGACCTCCAGGGATGGTGACTCCACCACCTCCCTGGGCAGCCTGTTCCAATGTCTAACAACCCTTTCAGTAAAGAAGTTCTTCCTAACATCTAACCTAAACCTCCCCTCCAGTCTGGTCGGGCTTTGTGGAAGCATTCATTTAGAACATAAACTTTTTGTCAGAAAGCTCACGAGAGAACCTTACTCGCAGGCAGTGCTCATTTTAGTACTGGTTGTCTTTCATATGGGACCTATGCACTAACACCCCTTTTGCCTCCCAATACCTCCCCCAAATTACAAATGGTTTCAGGATAATACTATAAAACGGAGAGAATAAATAATGAGTAACCATGGTGATCCTACAATTCCCCCTTCCATTAGATTCCCACCCTGTCCGTGTTTCAGATGATTCTCAAGGAAGAAGAGAGGGCTCCTTGTAGGGCCGGGTGCGCCTGGATTATCAGAAATAACCCACGGTGTCGGCACAGAGTAGGAGGAGGAGTCTGCCCCTGGATAAGCAGGTCTGCATTAAACAACAGGTCAAATTCGTGGAGTAGAAAACTGCTTATTAAGGTTGGCTGGCTAGGTACGTAGGACAGCACACAACACAGAGTCAACTGGCGTTTATTGTATGTACAGCAGTAGTTATCTCTTTAAAAAATCCTCGCGCTTTTTAGTGATGTAATAAATCTGTACATCGTAGGCTTCTTAATTACACCAACTTAATTTTACATACACACACAGAAAAACAACAGCAACAAAATAAAACACCACAGAAGTGACCATCACAGTTGTATGCTAGGAAAAAATGTTTTACTCCCCCTGGAATATCAAAGCATAGTACATTGTTGGGAAAGACAAAGTTACAGTATTGGAAATACCTCAGATCCCTCCTTCACCGATACTTCACACTGTGCCAGCACCTTGCATAGTAGCAGTTTGGATATCCTGAATGAAATGATATTATTCACCCTTGACTTCAAGCAATCCTCCCTGTTACGTCGTTAATCTTGGACTGTTTGTCAGCAACACACCAAGGCATTTGCTAACTTAAAACATCTGAATAAATCCACCTAGGTGCTGTGGAGGTCGGAGTAGGAGGTCAGCTGTGCCTGCTCACAGGGGGAATGAATGCCTTTGGAGCTCCGGTGCGCTTCCTTCTGTACCAAAAGCGCTTACCTCAAGCTTCAGCTCTACAGGTAAAATGCAGCAATAAGCTAAAACAAAAAATCCAGGTGACTCCCACCTTGTAGAGCTCTGCCCCTTGTAACACCTTGATTTACCAGAGCTAAAAGGGATGTTAAAACAAGAGCAAGGCTCTCTTCCCCCATACATTCAACATTTTATGTAGTCAATTCCACTTTTTCCCTATGATATTTCACCTATCAAGAACAGCAAAGCATTACTTGAAATACACAGCAGAGAGTTTTCATTTGAAAACCACCTGGGACTAGTGAGGAGCTGCAGTACCAGAAACAACCCTAAAATTTCACTGATCCTCAAACTGGTATCACAGGCAGGCAACAGCATGGTCTGAGAAAAGCAGCGCTGGAAACCAAGTCCTCTTGAGAGCCAGGCAGTAACTATGGGTCTGTATGACCTAGAGCCCCAGCCAAAGAGTCAGCAGGGGAATAAAAATCTAACAGAAAGCATAAGAATAAAGCCCAGAATTTATGCTTGCACAGTTTTATTACCTCTCCATTAAGCCGAACAAATTTGCCAAAGGTATTTTGCTTTTTAAATGAATATATATATACTTTTTTTCCATTATGGCATCCCTTCTTCCTGCAGCCTCAGTTTCAGAAGTGTTGTGTATAGCTGGGAGTGAAATGACTGACATTTTCTCCTGGGGTGAATTGGATGTGAAACACAGTGCCTTAGGGATAAAGGAGCCCCTCCTCTTCAAAGTGACTTTTAAAGTGATCTTTAAGTGAACATTAACAGTTACCTAGCTTGTATTCACATGTGAGATATTAAGCAGCTTTATCACTTTAATTTACAAAGAAATTTTTAATTCTTGTACTTCTTGTTCAGTCAAAATTCCCAGAAAAGACAAGGCAAATCTTGGCTAGGTAGGGATGCAGGTCGTCATGTCATAAAAACGAAATGCTTAAATGTCATAAAGCAAAAGCAAATCACAAACACAGACTAAGAAGGTTCAATTATGGTCGGAAAAATTTATCTTGTTTTTACAACATGACAAAAATAATTTTTTGGAAGAGGTGAGGAACACACGCCAGCCAGATGCAGAGGTCAAATATCAAACCAAACGATGTTTATTTTCCTGAGGAGTGAAGGCAATTAAAAAACAAGATTCCTGTGATTCCCTTTTAACCCCAAATGCCTTGCTTTCCTCATCTTCAATTCTCTTTCAATATACGTGAGCCCAAATCTTCAAACAGTTTGCAGTATACATATATATATATATACACACATTGCAGTTCCCACCATTTAAGACACACATTTAGGCAATTACCAAGATTTTTGGAAAGATCAACCAAAAAAAAAAAAAACACACCAAAAATGCCTCAGGATGTGTCTGTTCTTTGGGGTAAGATACAAGCAAACCCTTCTGTATTCTGCACATTATTCAGTGTTATTTCCACTTCATCCTACAGTAAATGATAAAGCTTTTGTAAATTAAAATCCCAGTTCAGTAATTTAAACAGACTCCAAGTAGTGTTACATACTCCCTCTACATTCCCAATTCTCCAGCTCTTAGTGTACGGGGTGCTATCCGCAGAGCTGTCTCGCTTTGGTTTCTTCAATTTGGTGGTTAGCCTTCCTCTTTCAGAAAACAAAACCGAACATTTAAAATTTGTGGGGGATTTCATCACCCACCCTGCCCCAGCATGCAAAGAGTTCCTAGCAAAGTCGAGGGGAAAAGTGCACGTTTAAGAAACTTAACTTCAGGTTTTCGGATGCTCAGATCGTGGTCTGCTGTAGAATGAATGAATGAATCCTAGCTTCTACTTTGTGTTAAAATAACTACAAACAAAAGTGTTCACACACACTCAAGCAGGACAAACCCATATTACTAAACTGGGATTTTTAAGCACATTACAGCTCCAAGACACTCATGTGTAACAAATTATCAAAACACAGAATATTAAAATGCCTTCAAGTGTTTTCATAATAAGCAGCATGCTTAAACATACAGCCATCTGATAGTCCGGACTGTTGTATTACAGTGATTTTACTAGGTTACACATAAATGGTACTTTTAACCAGTAGACTCAGTTAAAATATTTTGACAATTCATTTCTTCTACTATTTTGTTGGTTTTTTTTTTTTTAAAAAAAAAGAATCTTATTTTTATCTTTGAAAAAGAAAATACCAAGGAATCTAGAGTCCTTTGGAAGTTTTGATACGCGTTTCTGTTCTTCAGCGACTTTCTATTTTTGAAGAATGGTTTAAGTTGAAAGCTGAAATATCTGCCAGAGCCTTGGATGAATTTTAAGGGGCAGGAAGGGGAAACCCTGTTGGCAAAGCATGCACAATCTATCTTCCATTTGTGTCAGTAGTTTTGAGGGAATGGATGTTTTTATTGGAGAAAGAGAACAGGCTTGGTCCTTTGTCCTCAGCAGGAATGTATACAATGGAAAGCTATAGGTATGCATGAAAGGTGGCACCTGTGAAACACTGTCTTTTACCCTCTTAAATAGCTGAAACAAGAACTATGCCTTTACTTTCACCAGTTTTTCCTTTCAACTTAAAGGAGTTAAAGGAGCCAGCTGCAATATTTAATGAGGGGAAAAAAGTCAGAAAGCCAACTGAACACTCACCCCATAGCAACACTGGTAGATCGAGAAACTGAAAGACCGAGGGAACTGTGATCATGATTTTTTTAAGAGTTCTCTTCACAACTGTGTTTTCTAAGATCTCAGTAAGTATTTGGCAAGTAAAACAAGCTGTCTAATGAGAAGTTTATATAGAGTTAAATATGCTCTGTTTGACACTTATTGCTCCTAGCTTTGCATTTGATATGATGGTTTATATCCTTGTCTAACAAGTACTTGGTAGAAGGAATTAGAGCCCCTAAGATAGGTTTTTGCATTAGCAGCACAGCTTCTCACACAGCGAAGAAAAGCTACAGAGGAGAAGTCTTAACTGTTTTGCTTGCAAGTAGACTCAAGTAGACTTTTAAAAAAGTTCTGTTTTTTTTAGAGTATAACCTATGCACAGAACATTAAACAATATGCTAGTATAAGTGTTTGCATAATTTATTGATTTTATGGCTAATATAAAAGGCATCTCTCCACCTACATGGACTGAGCAGTTATTATAGCAGGCTACAGATATTACAGTAGGCTATCTTAATCAGCATTTTAGGTCTGCTTCTGAAAACTTACCCGTTTCCAAATTACAATACAAACTGGATCTGGGTCTCTCTTTTCCCTTTCAGCCTGACCAGAAACACAAACTGAGACTTGCGTTGCTACTACCCCATGCTGCAGCAAGGAAGCACAGTGGCATCTTCTCTCTTGATAGTGGTTCAGCCATAGAGCAGGTATGATTTTTCAGTTCTCAGCTCCCCACTAATGTAAACTAGGTGCTCACGTGCATGTCCTCTCCACCTGCACCATTCCCTGTCCTCCCTCATTCTGTACAATAACCCACTCAATCCTTCAAAAGCTGTCACGATGCAATTAGTGCTGCCTGTGTTCGGAGGAACAACTCGATAACCAGAGAGAAAAACGTTCTGGAAGAATAAACAAAAAAGACAAGCCTTCTGTTTATTCCTTGACCACTGTGTTAGCGAACATCATTTCATGCAAGTCATCAGCCTCATTCGTATTCTTTAGTACTGCTCTGTAAACAACTGATGTGCAATATCCCACCAGAGAGCGTCCGCTCTTATACATATGGTTCTGCCGAAGCACCGTTCAGTTTGCTCTTGCTTTTGTTCTTGGAAAGCAGCTTTCTGTTAAGAAGACGTGAAAGCGTGCCTCCCTTCTTGCGTGTCTCCTCCGACAGGGGCTGCTGCAGGTAGACAAGATCGTTGTGCGACTGGCTCATTCCTGGGTCCTTCTGATGGTGTCGCCGACGGAAGAAGAGCTTCGCACTTTTTTTCAAAATCCCACCTGCAGAAGCAGAGAGCAGAGGCACAGGACACTTTAGACAGAACGGGCTGCTTTCCTCTTGGACCACAGCTTTACCGTTAACTGCACCACTACTAAAAAACAGCCTGGGTCTCAACATCTCCAGTTTGAGCACAACCCTCTTAACAATTCAATGTTAGAAAGGTAAGGGAGTGGTGCATCTAAATCAGCAATATTGATGGCTTGTAACTGATGGGACATAGGAGCACAAGTCCCGCATTGGAACAAGTGATTTTGGATACTGGCAAATGTGAGCAATCGCTGTGCTGTCAGCCAGAGGCGCACATACGTACACTACATGCTACTGAATCCACCTTCCCCCACTCGACCCAGACAAACACCATGAAGAAATTCAGGCTCCATGAAATTATGTATTTCTCTGCTTCTCTCATTCCATGCAGGTATCATGCAAACTGAATCGCTTAGATTCGAGACAGACTGTGGTAGCTCTAGAGCTATGCATATCCACACGCTCTTACAGTCAGCAGGTAAGTTCAGGAGAGAAGAGCTCGCACGCATTGCTGGAGGAGCACTACAGAAAAAGTAGTTTTTCCTTCAGTTCTCTCCGAAATGATGCAGTTGAAAAGGAAGGAAAGCTACCGTGCAATCTATCTACAAGCAATCAAGTATTAATCCTCTGATTTCAACTTCTAAAGTCAATCCACGCATCTCGGGCAAGTCGCCTTCCTTACACTTTGTTTCAAGTGTTCTTCTGAAAGCTATGATAGTGTTCAAACATACACATGCACAGCGTTTAGTGTGGGTTGCACACTGGGTTCTCAAACGTCAAACAGGCATATGCAACCTTTCTAGTGCAATACAAGTACGGCGTATTTCACAGAAAGAATGAAATAGAGAAAGAAATGTTACTGTCTGTTGTTTCAGCGGTAAAAGGAGCTGAAACGAAAAGATGACCCCGTTATGCACAAAGTGAAGGTGGCGTTTTAATCTGAAGTGCAGGACACGGTTGGTGCCTGAGCTCAGCACCTGGCAGCCAGCCCGCATGCAGCAGACTGGAACAAGCCAGGCTGCACGTATTCTACAAGAGGTCAGCACCATCACCTAGAGTAGCCATCATCAAGCGTTCGCTGTTTGAAAATCCTGCTAGAAATAACAATTCACCTCAAACAGATTAAAAATAATATTAAACCTGCTGCCAATAGATTCAGAAATTTGCCCAAATCCCTTCTTGTGGTAAATTAGTCCAGGTTCCTTTATTTTTGTAGTACTCCTCCTCCTGATCCCATGTCAAACCTGCTGTGCAGCCAAGGCAATTGCAGCTATCGTCTCACCAGGGCTTCGTGCTGGCGACACCAGACACCAGCAGTTTTCCTTCTTTGCAAGCCCTGGCTGTTTCTGCAGCCAGCATTGTGCCAAATTCCACCTTCCCTTTCCACATGCATTCCTGATGTGTAAGGCAGCCCGGTGGCAGCTGGCAGGGATGCTACCAGCAGCACTCAGCCAGGTGCCAGCACATCAGCCCAGCATTAACACGGCGATCGTTTTGTGCAGAACTGAGCACTGTCGTCGCCCCAGTGGCACAAGCCAATTTGAACGGAGGAGGACCCAGGTAGCAAGCCAACACAGGAGGTTTCTGGCAGTCAGGTGGGTACGTGCATGAGGGCAGTCACCTCCCCGGCAAAGCTTCCGCAGCCTGCTCCCCTACCACAACCAGGTTTCCTTACTCCTTCTCAAATCAACTATTAAATCGTGTCACCACGCAGTCTCCATTCTGCTTTTCCTCCCATTGCAAATGGCTGCAAAAAGCGATGCTCAGACTAATTCCTGCATGTGACCGTGTCCAACAACTAGGATTACATCATTATCAAAGGACTCAAGGCAGGCTGCGTGGCATTTCGCACAGCAGCAGCTGCAGAATAGGCAATTCATGGCAGCCCTGCTCCACGCAGCCAGATGCTTTGTTCAGACAGGAACACTTACAAATGTGTGCTTGGCATTATTACTTTTTATTTTAAGGACTAGGCACTCAGCATCCGGGAGGATATTCCAGCATGTTTTGCCTGGCTGAGGCTGAGACTGAGCTCACCAGGCACAACGGGATTGAAGCAGAAGTCAGCTGAAAGCCACTGCAACTCACGGATTTGACTCTCGACCGCTCTCCCGTCACCCCCTGACTGATAACTTTGGCAAGGCAGTACCACTTCAAGCTCTTGTCAACAGCATAAAAGAAGCAGTGTTTTACCCTGTGACACTGACAGTTGTTAATATGCCGGGGCTGGGGGAGGTTGCTGAGGCCCTGCTGCTGTGCGGCTTTTGTTTTAGCACTCAGCTGTTCTGCCCAGCAGACTTGGCAGCTGCAGCTGAAGTTGTGCCAATGGGAGGTACAGGACAGAGGAGTTTATCTGTAAACAGATACTTAGTCCTATCCATTCAGACCGATTTTCCATCCTAGGGAACAGAACCAAACAAAGAATGATGCAAAACCTGTGCTGGTGGCCCAGGACAACTTGCTACAGCTGAAAAAGCTGCAGGCAGCACTTCTCTGAGAACAGCACGGCCTCAGCAAAAGCAGGAGCCCCTTGGCATGAAAGCTTGTGTTTTCAGAGGTAGTGAGGTCACCGGTACCTGGAAGCTTGCCACATCCCCACTGCCACCCATCAGTCTCCAGCCAGCCTGGCACGTGCTGCCTGAGGGTGGCTCTAGCTGCTGTGGAGGCATGCACCCCGACCGAGGAGATCAGGTACAGGGCAAATCACAAGCTTGGTGATGCTCGTGCTGTTTGCATGCTTACTTCTCGAGTTCAACAGGATCCGCATGCCAACTTTGCCCCTAACACCAGGAGATAAGCAGAGAGTCTCAAGAGCACTGTCCAGACTCAGGTCTTCACAGGCTCCTGAGCACAGGCTTGTGGGGTTAGGATCACTTTGGTTGATAACAGAAATTAGATTCAGATTCCCTTCTACATCTACTAGGAAACAAATAGAGATGCTTCTTTCCATTCCTTCCCAACTCCAAAACAGTTTTAATCCAAGTGACTGTAAATAGCTGCTGAGGAACTTGTAGCTCAAGGAGTTTGGCTACAAAAGAGATCTCGAAAACCGTAAGCAGCAGCTTTTAAAATAAGCATTCTGTGTATGCATATCCAGTATGGGGTCACACATGGTTTGCATGAGCAGATGTTTGACCGATAACCAGATAGGACAGGAACGGGCATGGTGGACAGAGATCGGGAGCACAGAGCACCCCTCCAAGCCTTCCTTGCAGCCCACTCTGTGTGACCCACCTGAACAGCACACCCACCAGGAATTTGTTACGGCAGACTAGTCTGCTAGGGCATCCGAGCACAGGAAGGCCATTTTGGAGGGGGGAAAGAAATGGATGGGGGGAGAAGAAGACAGGTGCCAAACTACATTTTGCTTCGTTTTTTACAATGAGAGTACCATTGTAAAGCTACATTTTCTTTAAAAAGTAAGACAAAAGTAACTTACTGTGTAGGTAATTAATTCTGGCTGGCATAGTGGTCCTCTTAAGTTTATAAAAGGGAATGGGTAAGAAACAGGAAGTCAGAAAGGTAAAGAACAAAAATATGCAAGACTAAAAAATAGAGAGAAAGACAACGCTAACTTTAAGACATTAATACCATACACAAGGCTTTTTAAAGAAGAAGGCTGTTTTTTGCTGTTGCTGTTCTTGTTTTTTAGAAGGGAAGGTGTTTAACAAAAAAACCCTTGAACTATTCAAACCTAACTCAGGAAAACATTTCTACCTCCTTTCCCTATCTCACTCTATAAAAGCTCTTTGGCTGTGACAAAGCAGAGATTCAAGATTTCCACACAAAGATCTGTGCATAAGGAAAGGGATTTTAGACTGTTTTTAGAAATCTTTTTCAGCTGAGACAACTGTCTCAAATATTAGAGATAACTTGCCCTTTTTTAGCAGTCCCACCCTACATTGTGCAAAGAGAATCTTCAGAAGTCTGATCTCTTTGCAACATACTGCACAGGGAAAAAAAAAAAGAGACAACAGTTCACAAACAAACTTCCATTCGCGTGTTTTGAGTAACACATTAAAGAGGAGTTCAGAGGTTTTTGCAAAATCTCATACAGCTTTGTAAATCTCACCAGGCTCCAAAAAAGACAAATGTTCACTTCATGCTTAGCTGCCTAACCCCACCTCAAACACACCCAAAGCCTTCTAATGCCAAACTGATTGTTGCTGTGCCATTCTAAACTATCAGCTGAAAAAAAAAAAAAAAAAAGTGCTGTGAAAAGACAAGACCTCAATGTCCTAAGGGAGAACTTTGACAAAGAGGCCTTACAGATACACCTTATGTGGGGCACATTACAATAATCTAGTACTATACTGAGGTTTTGTAGAAAGCCATTTCACACTATCTCAGGGTAAGGAAAGAAGATAAAATAAAGCAAAAGAGGGATGAATACGGGTGAGAAAATGCCATTTTTGCAACTTGAATGCGCATCCCCTGAGGCTGGTGTGCTGCCTGTTCAAGGCACAGGTGAAAGTCCACTGAAGTCACTCTTCTTTCAGACTTTCTAACAGCCACCTGTGTCTACCACATAGCCACAAGACAGCACGACAGCCTAAGAGGTCAATGGTCAAAGGAAACACAACGAATCCTAAGACATTTCCAAATTGCAGCTATCCAGGCATGTAACTACATGAGCAAAATGATCTGACCCTTTATTTACTTATTAAATTATACTTTATTACAGTTTATAGAAAACTACGTATTAATGATAACAGAAAAACTTCTGGCTTAGCCATTGGTGCTGACTGAGCACATATTTTAGTGAGGGCAGGGAAGCTTGTGCTCAGAGAAGCAAGGAAGAAAAAAGGAAGAAAAGCAACCTACCAGGAAGCAACCGCAGGACCTTGCCATTTTCACATCAGTAATGGGACTTCTAACACAGAACAAGTCTTTGTTTACAAGAACACTTTTCTCACTGAGGAACTGACAATGTGGTCAGTTATCTCCCTCCCAGATACTGGGTCAGGCTTAGTGGTCTGCCTTGCAGCTTGTAAGGGTGAGCCCTTCTAGCTTCCAGATGAAGGAGAACGTCAGAGAGCCTGCCATATCTCTGGGAGCAGGAGGTCTGCACTCTTTATAGCTGCTAGTAAGACAGCTTCCATCAACATCACAACTGCATGGAGTTTCAGAAGAAAAATCAGTACAAGAAGATAACCTACTATATAGTGTTGCACAACGCTGTCACTTATGTACAAAAAAGCAGTCGTTCACTGAAGGAGAGGTAAGGCTCACATACCTTTAGACTTTTTCATGCTCCCAGTTTCTGAAACACTTAATGAGCTCCCAGATATTTCTTCACAGGTCTGGTCTAAGAGCGTGTTGGAGTTCCACTGCTGACTGCCATTCTCCAAGCCCCAAGCCTTATGGGCACTTTGCTGAGGGTCAGTATCAGGTACTGTTTCTGAAGCACCTAATGACAGCTTTTCATCAGAGGTGACTTTTGCAATAGCCTCCTCTCCAGTGGGTGCTGGATCTGCTTCTTTGCAGGAGCTGTCCATGGCTGCAGCATAGTCCATCATCAGTGCAGCTTCACTGTCCTGAGATAAAGAGGTCTGCCCAGTGAAAGAAAAAAATAAATAAATAAAGAGACAACACTGACACAAGATGCTCTGCCAGAGAAAACAAAACAAAACAAAACAAAAACAAACAAACAAACAAACAAAGAAAAACAACAACAAGCATCCCTGCAAAAGTTCTTTTCTTCTCTCTGCTTTACACTTTCATCTGCACTGCTCAGGGCCATCAGAAAGCCATCGTGAGGCTTCTTCAGCTCCACTAAAGCAGAGGAACATATAGTCAAATTCTAGTAAGAATCCATATTCAGGTGACCATTTAGGTGACCATATTCACCTAAACATTGCCTTGCTAAAGCCAAATGACTGAAAAAAAAAAAAGACTTAAGTACATGCCTCACTCCTGTCACTGGCCCCACTATAAGTAATGGGACACGTTCCTACATGTGCTGCTGTAACAATGTATCAGCTTGCATAGAAAATAATCTTATTATTTATAATCTTATTATTTAATTATTAAGAATATAGGTATCAATGTATTTCATCTTGTAGAAAGATTTCTTGACAGCTATATCAGATAAATACAAATACACAAATCCAAAATACAGACAAGGACTAATCTTTTGTCCTCACTTAAACTGGTCTTCCCAAATTCCTAATCATCCCACTCCTGTCCAAGGACACCATACGTTTTAATCAGGCTGTCAAATTAAGAATGAAAAACCAACCCACTCTGCAGTAAACCCACTTGTATTTGGCTCAGCTTGAAACAAATTAGAAACTTCTTCAATTCAAAATTCTTCAGTAAGAAAAGAACAGACCTAGATCCTACAGAGACTGCTGAATGGGAGACAACAGAAAGCACATTCACGTAGTACTCAGTGGAGCAAAGACTTTACAGTCTAGAGACTAAGAATTAAATGTGTTGCTTTCTGCTCTACCTTGGACACCCCTGATATGATAATGGTGCTTTTCTTCCTAGGAGACTTCAGCTTCTGCTTTGCAGACTCGCTTAACTGTCGAATGGCTGCTTCTGCAACAGGATCGGTGCCATTCAATACCAACAGTTCTGAAACAAAAGAATTATTTCAGAAAGAAGAAAAAAAAAAAGGAAGTATCAGAGCAAGATATTGTTCTTAATTTAAAATTCAAATAAATTAGCAGAAATAGTATAAACACCATGAATAACAAAACATTTTCCAATCCACCACCCAGCTACAGGGTCTTGTCTTTCCATTCTTCTCAGTCCATGTTAGCCATTGTTCTGAGAAAAGGTACAAAAGTTGCACTTACAAACCTGTGCCTTGAACACACAGAAGGTTTTAGAAACCTAGGCAAAGCAGCTAATTATTTCAACACATTGTTACACTGCAGTAACTTTGGGTACAAGCAAATATAAACTAATCAAATTCATCAAGCTTTGAAACAAACAAATCTAATAAAGTTAATGAAGCAAAAAAAAAAAGCAACCCACAGATTTAATTATTGGAGGTGGGCTCTTTAATAAGAGATTTAACAACAAAAGGATACAGTCAGGAATAGCATTGATTAAACTGAGTGGTGTCTCTTTGTTATTGTGACATTAAGGCACAAAAAAATGAGGCCTAAATAATAATACCACACTAAGTACCTCAGATACCTCTGGAATTTAACAGTAGGTGTGCACAAGTGGAATGTACACCCACGCACGCCTGCACATTTAATACAAACCCCTGCTTTTCCACCTTCATAACCACTGCAAAGCCCCTTGGAAGAGCTGAGTGCTCAGGACAGCATCAGAAGCACTTACTGACTCTTATTGTTGTCATTATTTGGAACTATGGCAAGGACACGGTGTCTTTTCCATAGAGCTTGTAGCTATTATGGCTTCATGTTTGTAATAAGTACTACCTAAGTTATTGCCATACTGAACGCTCCTTTGTATTCCTTTCATTTTCCTGGAGCTTTTGATCTAATGAGTAATTCTTCCTGTTGTGGTGTATTAATATTTCACAGAAATTCCCCTGAACTCCCATAAAAAGAAAAACACTGCCCATCTCAATGTGCCCTAAGCTGCATTCACAGGTTTTCCAGTAAGTGCTTTTTATCTTTGAGATCAAAATAAGTTATGAGAGAAAACTTGGAAGTCTAAGGCTTCCCAGATTGGCTTAGTAAATACAATCCTGATGCGTGGTAACATTTGTCTAAAGACAGGGAAAAATTCAAGTGTTATTAACCCATAGTTTGCAGTCCTTCCCAAATTTTTGACTTTTTGCCTGTACATGTCTATCTCTGAGCAAGCCTTCTGACTGTTCCAGGTGCAGCCTAGATTGTCTCCAGATTGTCCCATGTGTGCTCAAATATGTGCAAAGAAAACTGAACTCCACATCACGTGCCATTTACAGCTATACTGGAACACACCTTTCATCACTGCTGCCTACAGAGCTGAAGAATTAATGGTGACAACACAAAGGCCTGAAAAATATGCTGACGATATGTTGTACCCCGAAAACACAGGGCACAGAGTCAAAATCGAGTTGAATTCAAAGTGAATTTGTAATTAAAGATATCGTCAATGCTACCTGATGCTCTGAAGAACCTAATGGCTCTTCAACTACATACCAGGTGACTTAGGAAAGTGAACGAACTGGCACAGCAAGATTATGTATTTGCATTAGCACCAAACAAAACAACAGTGGCAGAGTTTGGAAGAGAATTCAGTGTTCCTGCTGTTCCGGTCTGCTTTACATCAAGCCAGCCTGAAGCCTTCTATTCAGAGAGGGGAATTCAGAGTGGCCTTAGAGTTAAGTTTTGGACGTTTTTCATTTTGTGCAGTATCCCTCATGCTTTTATAAAGGAGGAGCCTTTCATTCAGAAGTAAGAGAAAAGCCAGCCTGGCTTTTTTTTTTTTTTTTTTTTTGCAGTCACCTCCCCTCTCCAAACCACAGCTCATTGTTATTTTTTCAAAATTAGTAATTTAAATCTCCAATTAAAAACAGGCTTCTATTGCAAGACTGCTATATCCCTAACCACAGCACTTGCTAACATAAACAACTCAGTGCCTGTTGAAAGGCAGTAGCCATGTGGGTTTGTTGTTATTTTAACAGGATTACATTAATCCCATGTGCAGCCTAGAGAGACGTGCTCTGATTATAAGCCTCGAAAGTTTCTATTACCTGTATCTGAAGATGATAAAGTTTTGCTGACTGTAGCACCATGAGAATGGGTAGCTTGAACAGAGAAATCCTTTTCAATCATCTTGACCTTAACTGGAGTTTTCACAGGAGAATCTGAAGACGAAATTTCTTGGTTATTTAAACTATTTGAGACACTTACTATGAAAATAATAAGAGTAAATTATACCAATTTAAAAGCTTGTTCAAAATGTAAGTGTTTGAGAAAGCAGTCTCAATGCATGCTCTCTATGGTAGTGTGACCCCCTAAAGACCTGTGAAGTACAGGAACTTATTTTTAAGCATTTTCTGTAATACACTAGACAATATCCATTTAAGCAAAAGATCTGCTTTGAGAACTGAAGAGACTGCAGCTCTTTGTGAGACTTCAAACAAAGACTGTTTAGAGATTTTATTTTCATACATATCCCAAGAAGAATTGAGTCTACTCTTCAAAGGTATTCTGAAAAAAGTTTGTCAGAGAATGGCATACCAATCCTCACCACAGACTATAATACACACCGAGGTTAGAAGGCACAGCAACAAGACTGTCACCAGCAAGCACTCAGAGACTGACACTTTTGTCACATGGGAAAAACACCCACAAAGCTCTTCTACATTATTACTCCAGCATAAAGCTTTAAAATGTGTACTAAAAGGAGTACTAACCTCTCCTCTTGTAAGAACAAGGCTTCATGAAAATTAAAAACCTAATCTTGAAGAATACAAAAAGTGCCCCCCCCCACCAACACATCAGAGAAATCTGGACACCAGCCCCTTCCCTTTCATCCCACTCTCTCCTTGCAGCAAATTCTCCTGCTCCCCACAGACAATCCTAATGGCAAACATAGAAAGAATTGGACTTCCTCACCTGTGCTCGGAGGAGATGATCTCCCTTCTAGTCGAGGTTTGGTTTTCACAGCAGTTACAGTAGTGACCACAGTCCCACAGGGCATCACAGTTCGATCCTTTTCTATCTTAGTGCTTGGCACTGGAGAAGAAACTTGCCAAGTCTTTAGCTCATTAGGTTCTATAAAGAAGAACTAGGAAGAGAAAAGATATTTCACCTTAGCGGTGCAGATAAGCAAGAAGGACATTAACATTCCTAGCTAGTGCTCCTTTAACATTTCTAAGAACATTCAATAGCCAGCTATTACGTTTGATATGCACACATACAGTGTGACGTGTTGCCATAGAATATGAATGTGCTACTCGAATTGGGCCACACATTGCACTGCACTGTGAAGGACAGTCCACAGCACAAGATGAGCATTCACAAGGCCCTCCAGAAGTCAAAGATCCACCCTAAAGACATCCCCGGGCCATACCTCTGCACTAATGGATCCCAGCCGAGGCCCCAGCTCTGGACTGCTCTCACTGGCCGTGCTGTTCAGTGCAAAGCTTTGTTGGCCAGAAGGTTGCTTCCTGAACAAATCTAGAGGTACAGTTGCCTTTGAGGACAAAGAACCTAGAAGAAATAAATTTAAAAAAAATAAAAATAAATCAGCACTCATCTGAGCTGTCAGTATATTTAAGGATGAGGAGACAGGAAAGGAGGAAGAACAGCAGCTAATGACAATAACTGTTTCTACACCACGGGACAGTGAGTGCCTTGTTCAGAGCTTTCTTTGCATTTTTCAACTGTTCCCCAGTCCGGCCTAATACTGAGCAACAAAGAATGGATACATGAAACATTACCTGCTTGCCACTATTTCTGGCCATTTCCCCCCCTGTATAAGCAGAATGCTTAGAGGAAAAGAAAACAGTTAGAAATAGTAATATTATGTTCTTGAACAATCTCCTTAATGGGTTACTTCCATCTTTCTTTTCAGAGAACACCTCCTTGGGTTCCTAGTAAACTGGTGTATCATCAAGAATATTGCTTCTTAATTTGATCTTCAGTGTCTGTTCTCTTATTCCTCCCCTTTGTTAGCTACATTAGACTGGAGCAAACCATTAGCAAAATTACTGCATGATTTCAGGGATGAAATCCTAGTTTTATGCAAAATCCAAGGGCACAGCGATCTACATTATACTCCCATTACCCACTCTCATGATTCTACTCTGAGTTTTCCATTCAGATTTTCGGGAGAAGAACAGCTAAGGCAGTGGTGGAGCCAGGGGAGAAGAAAGACAATTGTCATTCTAATCAACTGTTTTTTTCTTTTTTGTTTTAAAACCAGATTGATATTTACACTCTCAGAAGGATGTGGTATACTACTGGTATTGTTTGAAAGACCCATTACAAAAGATGCTTGACGACTAGACTTTATGTAAGAAACAATATGCATTTGCTGATTATATAGCTCTCCCTTCTCTCTCTCAAACAGCATCCACATCAGAGGTTTTTTTTAAAATCATTTGCTTACATTTGATTTCCCATCCTTCAAATAATCCTTCAACAAATAATCATTTGTTGCCTGTTTGTTTTATATCTGAAACACGGTGTAAGAAGGAAAAAGCAAATGGATTCGAGAGGTGAAATACGGTTGCTACTTCTAGTTAAAGCAGAAGTGTATCAGTAAAAGGACAAGCAGTACCTATGAGAAGAATTTATGAACTTGTGGCATCGCTTCAATAAAGCTCAGGTAAGCGACGTATTTTTGGAGCAACTTCACAAAGCTCATGCAAACAGCTCAACATGCTCCCTGGTCTCAAAACCTACCCATCCCTTACCCCCAGCACTTGGAAGGGAATACTTCTCTGAATAAACACAGTGCAATAGTTCAGTGGTGAGTTTTTCTTTGCCACTGAAAACTAATTGTAAACTGTAACAACAGAATCAAAAATATTTTATTCTGTAAGTTCTATATTTAATCCAATGCAACCAGAATTAGTGCGTTTTATACTTGGTAATGGCTGGGCAGTCTTTTGGGCTTGAAAAGGAAGGAGTTAGGATGAACAATTACCCTTCAGTCAGAGAAAGAAGGGGAAAGATTAACTTGAAACAAAAAATACTTACAGAGAATCTGTTAAAATTTTAGAAGGTCAAAAAATTAGGATTACCAACAGCTATTGACAGCCTAGAAACAAAGGCTGATTCAAGATTCATTTGCAACCTTAAATCTGTCCTGAGGAGGACAGATACTTTTTAACAGTTTATTTCTCTTCTGTCTGGGCTTACTGGTGGAAGTAAGAAAGTCCCTAGACAGCAGCTGACCCAGGTGGATTAGCGTGCCCAAGAACTCTGCAGTTTTCTGTGGATTTTAACTCTAGGACCTACATTTGAGGACAGGCTTACTGAGTTTTAAAACATAAACTTAGCTTACACGTCTTCCTCAACATGTCTGTTTTGTATAAACTTGGCTAGCTCTTTTCGGCTGATCTCCCTTTTGCTGTTGTTTTCTCCTCCAGGGCTCTCTACATTACAGCAAGTACAGCTGATGGGACAGTCAGGACGAGTCAGCATAAGACACCTGAACTTCTACACAGGTTCACAAATCAGTTTCTTATATGGCTATACAGCCAGGTAGAACTAAAGGAGGATTCATGTCAACATTTAGCAATGCTCACGAGGTGATCATGCAAAACGCTTCAGTTTTAATACTTACTATCCAACTTTCCGTCTTCTACTATTTGCAGTTGCAATGTTTTTGATTTGGCACTTAGTTCACTGCAAAATAAATGAAACTACGTTAGGTTTTTGCATGCAAAAGATCCTCTTTCCCATGTAGATATTCCCTGTCTCTTTCTGGTCCCCAATTCCTTGCCCTGCACCAAGCACAGCCCCACACGGCCAACCCACCAGGGTGCCGGGCAGGCAGTGTGCGTGGCTTCTTTTTGACCTCAGTAAGAATGACTAAGGAATCTCAGCCAGAAAAACAGGGTTTGGTTCCCTCCAGCATGGTTCAGAAGTTCAACTGCCTAAACTGTCAGAGGCTTTTCTTCTCCCCAGCACTGCCTTTCAGGCTGATAGTTCCTAGTCCAACTCCTATGCAGCAGCACTAAGAAAGCCATTTTTTTTCCTGGCAGGTTCAGAAGTGAGCATTGCTGAAATTTTTAAGTTAAGATGCTGGAATAGGTCCAATCAACTGCCTATTCAAAGCTGTGCATTATCTTGTCAAAGCAGGAAAGTGTCCTGCAGAGCAAGAGAGAAGCAAGGAAATAGTCAACAGGCTCTAGTGAGAAGAGTCAGTATGACTTTTCCAAAATAAGACTGAAGGATGTTGCAAGATAAGAAGAAATAGTTTATCTGTGACAGAACTAATGTGTACTATTAGCAGAACTACTGGCATTTGTAGAACTCTGTAAGATGAACCAGACAAGAGATTTTAAAAAAAACAATAACAACAAAAACTTCCCTCCAGTGAAACAGTGAACTGGGTAGCTACTGAGGAGTCTTGTAGTAAAACTTGATTTTACGCCCATCTTGGCAAGTGTTCTGCCAAAAAGCTCGAGGGAACACATGCGTGTATTTTATTTTTCCATGTCTCCACTTCAGGCTGGCGTGATCTTGGTTGCAGATACTCCAGCTCCATCAGATGCTCCAGGACATAACCTATGCAGCAGGCTTTAACCTTCTCCCTGCCTCTACCATTCCCTCCTGCACCTCCAAAACTTGAGAAGAATCACCTTGAGGCTACCTGTTGCTGCTCTTCTCACAAAGCTAAATCAAGGCCTGACATGGCGGTCAGGACACTGGTCTTCAAGCTGGTGGGTATTTTTGTTTCTGAATTAAAAAAGTCAGGGGGGAATGAATATGAAAGAAAGTATACACTCAAATCCTGATCACTTATCTTTAAAAGTCCCCAAGCTTACCTCATGCCCTTCCGAAAAATAGCAAACATCGTGGAAAACCCAGCACTATCCCTAGCATCAAGGCCAAATTCCAGTCAACTTAATCACATCCTGCCTGCCCTCCCTCTGCACTTTCAGTTGGAAAGGTCATTATTCTTATAAACTTCCTGTCTGAAAGCGCTGGGCGTGTGTCTGTTCGACAACACTGAGCACATGCTGCTCCACCAACAGATGGCTGACGTGATTCACAAACCTAGGGAGTGAAGCACTTTGAGATACGCCAGAAAAGAAAGCTGCTAACGAAGTGCATTGTTTCTCCTACTGTGGAGCAGAAGTTGCATCACACTAATCCTCAAGCTGCGATGGGGACACAGCAAACTGTCAGGGGAGAATGCTGCCTGCTCTGGCTTCCCACAAAAGCTGTAGATCCTCGTAACTGAAATCAGGCTCTGTAAGACATGAAGTCATCGAATTGTAGGAAGAGAGCTTCCTAGCTGGTTCTCCGCTTGCCAGCAGGAGGAGACACAAGGCATATTTCTCTACCAAGCCACACAGAAAGATGGGACGTCTCAGTGTTGTTCTACAACATCCATTTGAATTTGCTGACCTCAGTGACTTCTTATCATCTCAACTTCTGCACGCATTCAGAGGAGTCAAGTGTTCTCGAAGTCCTGCACAGCTTCTGACAACCAGTCCCAGTGCCTTCCTTTATTTCAAGCAACCCGTGTTGCTTTTCCCCTCGACACTCCTGTTTTTGCAGAGCACGCTCCCATAACGTAGGTAGGCACGGCCCAGTAAAACTGCAGTGGGGAGGCAGGAAAAGATCTGCGCACTTGTTTCCCCTGGAAGTTGAGGAGAAACGCACAGAAGTGCACAGCACAGCACTCCTCAAGGAAGGCAGCACTCAGCACTGACAGGCACAGGGCTGAATGCTCACTCAGACCTTTGCAAGGTGAGGTTCTGCTTCACAAGAGAAAGAATGAGTATGGTGAACGCCACGCTGTGACTAGATAGTGATGAAAAATGTGGCAGAAAAACAGGTGGACTTGTTCTTGATGATCACCAGCAGCGCGTGCTTGCAGCCCAGAAGGCCAGCTGCATCCTGGACTGCGTCAGCAGAGGGGTGGCCAGCGGGTGGAGGGAGGGGATTGTGCCCCTCTGCTCTGCCCTTGTGAGGCCCCACTCGGAGTGCTGCGGCCAGGTCTGGGGCCCCCAGCACGAGAAGGATGTGGGGCTGGTAGAACAGGTCCAGAGGGGGGCCACAAAGATGCTCAGAGGGCTGCAGCACCTCTCCTGTGAAGAAAGGCTGAGAGAGCTGGGGATGTTCAGCCGCAAGAAGGGAAGACTGGGGAGACCTGAATGCAGCCTCTCAATACTTAAAGAGCGCTTATGAAAAAGATGGAGAGCAACTTTTTGCTCAATCAGATAGACAGGACAAGGGTGAATGGCTTTAAACTAAAAGAGGGGAAACTTAAATTAGAGGTTAGGAGGAAATTCTTCATTCAGAGGGCGGTGAGGCACTGGCACGGGTTGCCGAACGAGGTTGTGGATGCCCCATCCCTGGAGGTGTTCAAGGCCAGGCTGGATGAGGCCCTGGACAAACTTATCTAGTGGGTGGCATCCCTGCCCATGGTTTGGAACTAGATAGTCTTTAAGGTTCCCTTTCAACCCAAGTTTTTCTATGATCTTAAAGGTCTTTTCCACCCTAGATGATTCTATGAATGAAACTGAAGTGGGAGAGGAAAGCTACATAGAGAACCACGGATAGTCCACCACATACCAAGTGCCTCTCACATTAATAATCCAGTAGAAGGAAAAAAAAAAAAGCAGCACCTGTAGTATGTTGCATGGCAGCATCACTACCCCATTTCCCTGGAAAGCTGCTTCTGCCTGTGTGCTTGTCTAAAGCCACTAGAGAAACACACCTGTAACCCATCACTGCATCTGTGGCTCCCCACTCCTCTCCTCATACAACATAGAAGCGACCAGATATTTTCTGCTCTGCCACCAGAAAGTGGAAATTAAAACAGTTTTAGAACTGCTCACTTTTGACCCTATTTACAGAAGCTGCATAAATCACACAATACTGTGCAGGCTGCCCCAAATTCCCATTTATGTTCTACACAAAAAAAAACAACCTAATTAGTTACTATCTAGTTTTACACTCTGCTTTGTATAATAGCCATAATTCTTTTAGACAGTCAACCTGTCTGCACATTTACATTTCCGAGTTGGGGGAGAGGGAAGGGAGAGACATCAGATTTCCTCAGATGCAGTTTTCAAGGTAAAGTGACATAAAACCTTGCTAACATTTTTTTTTTTTTGACACTGAATTGGAGTACAGGGTAATCTATTTTGCCTGTTATTGCTGTCATTAACTACAGCCAGATATCTGTCAGGGAGATCTAGAGACCTATTTGATATCATATCCACGCAGAGGGTAATTAGATATCCAGTGGTCCCTACCAGCTCCAGATTTTTCCGAGGCCACCTGACAGAACATATTTCAAAACACTGTTCTTCCCTTGAAACTTCACATAGTGCCAGTAAAAAAACAAAACAAAACAAAAAAAACTATGAAATGTTATCTGTAGGTAAGTTACTTACAAGACAAACTCTTCCTTCCAAAAGGGATTTGCAGCATTTTTGGCTACAGAGCTGGAAAACTTCTGCATAGGGTCATTCAACTGAACTATACACACAAGGTTTGTGCTGCCTGTAAGGGGGGGAAAAAAAAAGTTATTAATACTCCACCAACAGGAGATATACTTACTCAAAAGAAAGTGAAGAATTCCCTTCCTTACATATTGCACTTTTCAACAGACCATTTGGAAACACTTTCTCACCCACTCACAGAATAAATTTCTCCCCTCCCCTCGGTTTGTAAACCATGTGCAATAATGGCACTGGTCGAGACTGGGTCATCGTTGTCCTACACACTCTTCTATACAGTGTGAAACATGGTGACCCATTTTAAATTCTGTCATGAAGCAAGGAAGTGCAGGCACAGAAAGATAAAAAGAAAGGATGTGGATGCAGAGTGAATAACAAGGAGCTGGTGGTGTGGGTGGGGAAGTAAAGTTGCTTTGAGCTGCTCTACAAAAACAGACCAAAGCTCCTAGCGGCCAGAGTCACACGGTTTCTTTGGATACCAAATAAACTTTCTTCTGCTAGCAAGGGAACAATCACAGTCATGTTAATTAATGATGGCTTTATGGACTGCAGTTTCTAACAAGTTCATGGCATTTCAGAGTACTGGCACAGAGTTACTACACCTTGATCTTGGAATTCACTCCAGTGACTAACTGGTGTACCAGAGTAGTTTTTTTTCTATTTGCTAATCCAAGTGCAAATAATTTGCTCAACATGTCACTCTTAAAACAACTTCTGCCGTTTTGGCTTCCACAGCCTTAGAAATCATTTCAGTCTTGGGGTTCCCCTATAGCAAGGGCAGCAGCGAAAAGCTCAGTAATGACTTCGTGCAAAGCAAACAGAAGATATGCTGCCTCCAGCCCTCTGGAAGAACCCAGGTTTACATTCATCACCACCAACTCTCAGTTGTCCACTGGTGGTGTGGCTGGGCTGTGGAGAAGCCCTGTCTCAAGCAGAGAAGCAGCTTGGGCCTGACAAGGTTATCAGAGGAGACAAAGCACTACGTACACACAGCTTATTTGGGATCCAAGCTAACCCCGGAGTAAGTAGTTTAGCTGCTTTCCCAGCACGCTGAGCCTGAGTTAATGAACCCAGGGCGGTTTTCTGTTATAGCAGCCATATGTCCCTGCTGCCTGCTCATGCTGCCAGCAGAGCTGAGCAGCCTGGTGCAGAAAAGTGCATACAGCTCTGCACTGGAGCCACCCAGGGACTGACACTGCAGCGGGGTTTTTTAACAGCTCCGCCCCGTGCTCTCTGCTGTTCACAGCTAATGATTTTTTTTTCCTTAACAGGAGAAGTCCCTTTTACCCTTGATGATGCACTGTGGGCCATATAGCACCAACCTAGGACAGCGTCTGATTACATGCACAAATTAAGGAGACAAAACCAAGCGCAGCCCATAAGCAGAGGCCAGTTCTGTTGCTGGTTACTCACCGGCTGAACTCACACATCCATAGGAAAGCCACAAGCTCCTATAAAACTTGCTGGCAACCCATGTTTGAGCTTAATGGTCAGGATGGACAAACCCTCCTCTCCCCTCCCCAACCCAGTATCTATCTGCAGTGGTGAGCCTGCAATGGTGCATGCTCCTAGGGAGTCTCAGAGTTGCAACAGGATGGTTAATTATTGTTGCAAGACAAGGCCAGGAAGAGGGAAGGGAACAATAACCAAACGGCAGCAAGCTATGTCCAGAAGCCAGCATCTACCCAGCTGTGCAGTATTTTCACTGGATTTAAAGTGACCAGCTAAACCCCACTGTGAAACTTTATTTCTCAGCTCCAAAGCATCTGAGCTCCAAGAGTTGCTAGGGAACCACCAAGATTTCCTCCATCTCCTCTCAGAAGAGCAAGCGGTGATTTTTGGATCTCAGTATCTAGTTTCCCAAAGAAGAGTGCATTAATTGTCCCCTCTTCCTCTCCTTTTCAAGGAGGGGACAGCGAGCCTTCCCACAGCAATGAATCCTTTGCAGCATGTGCTCTGTGCTAATAAAGGCATCTCATCTCATGACTTTTTAACAGCAGCCAAAATGATCAGCTCTACCAAAATGCTTAGCTTGCACTACAAAACTGTAGAGTAACAATGAATTCTGAATGAGTTTTCCTGCTGCACTCTACAGTTTCCAGCACAGCTTTATTTATAGAGGACATTTCACTGCAAAGAGTTCCAGAACCGCTATACGTATACATAATATATTTAAAAAAACAGCCTGCAGAAAGTTTTAGAGGAGTCGCTTCCAACCAGGATGAGCAAAGCAGCATTATGCAACAGTCTGGGGCAAAAACTTGCTACATCTAACTGAAAAAAAGGAGTAAAGCAAGCAGGATATATTTATCCAAAATTAGTACCTTTCCCAATTTAGCAGCCACAAGCTTCCATTAAAAAGATTGTTACGGAATTGTTAGCGACCATAAATCACAGGGCCTCGTGTCTGCATTTCCTCTGACAAAATCCCAAATATGCTCACTCATGCCTCAAGCAGTGATGCAAGCATGCTTGCACTTGAAGTAGTTTGAATACTTGTTAGACAGGCTCAGTGTTTTTTTCTTAAACCAACAGTGCAACTTCACCAGGCAGTGATCTTTTGGTTTCATTCTCAATCTGCAAGAAGTACCCCCCTCCTCTCCCCACAGAGGTACTTTATTGGAAAAAAAAAAAAGAAAAAAAGAAAAAAAGAAAAAAAACAAACACACACCACCACCACCAAAACACTCTCCTTTGAGGAAAGTTTGCATAAAAGAGGAGAGTTTTACATAAATCAGTAAATTGCTCAAAAGTAAAGAAAAGCAGATGTAAAAACAAGGCCATATTGAACCAACCCAATGCCACTGCTAAGAGTTAATGAAGAGTTGGGTCTGAGCCCTCCCCCACTACCTTGTACACACCCTAAGTGTGTTTATTTAGAAATAAAAAGTAACTCCCAAAAATAAACAACCAGCTCTACAAATATGTTCATTTTAATTTGTTTTCAAACATGATGAATTTGTTTCCACGAAGATTAAGGTGTCTAAATAACCAGCCAGACTAAAACACAGTTTTGTACAAGCATGACTAAGCCCGTTTCTCAGAGCACAGCAATTTCTTACGTCTTGTTTTGAGCCAAGCTTGTAAACTAGAACTTTCCAATGATTTCAGCCAGAAGAATACAAACACAGAAACAAACAAAACAAACACCCTACTTAAAAGCGAGCAGCATCCTCTGGGCTACGTTACCTGCAGCACTGTGATCGGCTAGGTTTACTGCAATGTTCTTTACCAGCAGTTTCAGTTCGTGAGCCCTTGGAGGTTTAGGCGGACTAGTGCCCTGAGGGAGAACACTCGTGTTCTGTACATTCTGTGAAAAGCAAGCAAAAGAAGAGGGATTGTGCATATGCAAACGCGTTCAGCTTCTGTCACATTAATATAGGGAATTAGACATGATGTGGTGTAACATCTACAAGTAGCCACATGGGAGTTATAATCACAAAGCCTCCACTGCCAAAGGCTATGTTGTTTTAAAGCAAGCATTGCAGTTGTTTCTGATCACTGAGTGGTGTTAAACTTACTTGTTTGTGGGTCATGAATAGGTAAATAAAAGCACTATGCAGAAAGAGACTTCTCAAAAGATTCAGGTAGGAATAGGACTTACCTGAATCTCCTTTATGTCTGTAGGCCTTGTACTCAACACTACAGATGGAGAAACTGAGCTAAAGAGGTTCTTCAAAACATCTCTGAGCGTTTCAGATATTGCACATGTCCCTGCTCCCTGTCCCTAAGGAGAAACAAACAATCGTGCTGTTCAAAATTCAGAAGAATACAAGTTAAGGCAAAAAAAAAAAATAATCACTTGGCATATTTAAACCACCAAAGCTATTGAAAATTACCTTTATCAGAGAGAGAGATGGTTTCTGTTGCCAACAACAAAATGTACCAGGAGATCATGCAGATAATTAGTTCAATTTCTACACTAAGCATTAAAGAAAAACTAGAAACGTAAGCTAACGTAGCCACACTCTGTTCCGAGAGTTAAGAAGGCAGAGCTATTAGCCACAAAAACAGAAGTTTCACCAACAGTCTGTATCTTATGATGCTGCTTTAAAGTTTCTGTACTGCTTTGCACTCTGTGGGGAGAGCGGATCAGGCCACGGGATAAGCAGATAGGCGCTGTGCCACTGATTTAATGGGAGTTATGCCAGCTTGCGACAGATGAGAACGTGCTAATCCTGGGCCGCACTGGAAAGTTATTTTAGCATCTCTTGCAGGTCTTTATCTTTGCTGAAAAAAAGCATGCTGTATGGACAGGCAGTCATGGCACTCCATGGGACTGACTCATATGTTTGCCTACTCAAAAGCCTCATGGCCACCTGCATTTAACATCACCTGCTTCCACACTTCCTCTCTGAAGCATCAGAACACGTCACCAATTTTGCTTACACGTGTGGCTTCACTGGAGTAATTGTAGGTTTCTTTAGACAGTGAACCATCCCTCCTCCCCCTGTGCCCACGCAGAAGCCTGCTTTCAGTGTCAACGCTACTCGGAAGCTTTCTTCTGCTCAGTTATCTACAAGGGAGCAAATCTTCAAATGAAGCTGTCACATAAAGGGCAGTTTGATGCTACCTCTGCTCTGAAGGCAGCCCTTTTTTCTTGGAGAAATCTCCAAGAGGTTTGTTTTCTAAAGAAAAGATTGAAGTTGAAGACAAAGATCTGAGGACTCATCTGTCTCTTCTTACACGGTACCACATTGAGAGACCGTGTTACTGCAGAGCAAGGCTTTAAAAGAAAGGGAAGCACCTTACAGGTGAAGATACAGAATAGATGGGCAATGCAATAAGTATACAAAGCAGAAAAAGAAAAAAAGGTGCCCTTCCACATGCTGCTGGCAGAAGGGAGGATGCCTACAGCAAGCATGCCGTGACCGATTCACAGCAAGCAGCACCAACAAAGCAGGCCCAGCTTTGTCAAGTGATGGTCTGTCACTTAAAACCCTCAGCCCTTTTTTAAAAGTAGGAAAACACACACACAGTTACTTCTGATCTCCTAAAGGGATGCTTGCAGCTTATACAACAGGTCAAGCCAATCGGGAGTAACACCCCTTTCCCAATCACCCAAGTGTTACAGAAACATCCAGGGCGTTTCATAAAAATCCCGGGAACGTTGCGTACAGAAATCCTGTTTCATCACCTCCTTACGTACCCACCCCCTGATGACATCCAGCTACTGTTCAAAACCCGCAAGAGCACCAGCTAATTCCTCTGCAGCGCTGCCTTGCTCACGCTGTGGTACCCAAAACAACTGCCAAAGAAAGAGGCAGCAGCGTACTCCTGCAGATGCAGGTAATACTTTTAAAAATCTGAAAGAAGTAAAATTAGGCTGATGAAAGCCTCAGTTTCACTAATTTTTATTTTGAGGGATATTTTAATAAGCAGATAAACTGTTGGCTGTTTTTGCTGTTTTTACTGTTTTGGGGGTGATTTGCCACACCCCTACCCTTACCTACACATTGTTCGACGAAGAATGTTGCCAAGTAGTAAAATTCCAGCCAGTTCTCACTTTGCCACCAACCTAACCTGGTATTTGTTATTTAGTAATAATAACAGCAACAACTGTCATTGGAATACCACTAGTAGATATTTCCTGTGTGTGTGTGTGGTTTTTTTTTTTTTTTTCCATAGTTATTTGCAAGACAATTTGGTTAAAGAGCTTCCTTTCCGGCCAACCTGTTTTTTTTTTAGCCATCCTTATTCGGAAAGTGATGCTCTATCACACCATACCCTGCAAAGTCACAGTGATTTAACTGCCAAGCAAAAAGGTTCAATCCAACACATTTTACTGTGGGATTGACACAGGCCAGGGGCTGACAGCGAGCTGCTGTGGCTAGCTCGAGGCCAGGCAGCACACAAGGTCAGGGTAGCGGAACCACGAGCAACCCAAGCCCCGCAAGTCAGCCAGGTTGCCAAAGGTAGCTCCGGCTCATCCAGCTTTTATCAGCAGAAAATAGGTCGTTATATCCACTTCTTTTGACTGATGACAGAACTATTGTGTAGATAATCATCAGCAATTACAGATCTGTATTTGTACACAAAGTATCTCTTCCGAAAGAGGAAAAGAAAAAAGAGACACAAAAGCCAACATTAAAGTTTAAGAGCTGAAGGCACTTCCAAGGGGTAGGTTGCTCTTTGTTATATACATTAAATAGCTCTTCCTTTGTTGCCATCTCCACAAACGCTAACAGAAACTTCAAAGGGGAAAAAAAGCCCTTAAGTAGTAAGAACTTAACAGGCTCATTTAAAAAACACAGGCAAAGCACGCTGCAACCGCTTTGTAACTCTGGACTTAGGCACCTCTCCAAAAGCAGGTTTTGAAGTCCAGTGAAGGTCAGTGACAGTGCCAAAGTCATTCGCACATGTTAAGCACTTAATGCTTGTTCAAAAAGTGATCATTTACACTGCTAGATGCACAGTAAAATCCCCATTAAAACGCACTTCAAAAGACTTGCTTCTCTTTAGTTATGAGCTTAACATTCTTGTGTACAAAAGCTATGGTAATAAATTATGATTCTGGGTCACTTAGTACAGGTCTTCAGAAAGCAGCTCTGCTATACACTAACCTTAATCTTTAGCAAGGCTTTCAATCAGAAAACCAAGCTCGTAATACACAAGCAACCACACACCCACTGGTGTAGGAAAGGTGTAAAAGTCACCATGTTTGTGACCCCCACCACCACCCAAAATTATGAAGATTCAAAGGCAGAAGGAACTCTTTCAGGACATGTGTCAAAAACCAGAATTTATGTACTAAGATAAGGTGCAATTCAGAAAGCCTCAAGATATTTCTAGATAACCCATCATTTCCTTATTTTTTTTTTAAATTTTTTCAGAGCTGTATCTGAACCAGGGTTACCAGATTCCAAAACTAATTAAGTTAAAGAAGGGGCAATTTTTTAATTACTTTGATGGGAACATCATTACATTTTTTTCATTATTTTACAAGTGCTCTAAAAGAAGGCATTTAGTAACAGACATTCTTCACACCTTTGTATTTGGCTGAAAAACGTTTGCCAGGTCACTTGTCTGTCAAATGCAGGTTTATCTTTAATGCTTCAGTGATCCTGAGAGACGCTCTCAGATTTCAGAGATGCGGGGTTTTGATGGATGAGCCATGGCAAGTTTCACTGAAGCAGTTTAAGGATACCATTGTCAACAGATAACTGCCCCATTCTGCTGCTGAATGTGGCCAGCAGAAAGGAACAGGCACTTTTACTTCAGTTGTTCCAACCTGACCTGATAGCTTAGCCCTAGCCACCATTACTGCTAATTTAAAGCATTAGAGGGTTGGAGACCCATCTTTTCTGCCTCCTTGAGCAGAGGGACAGAGTGACCACCTGGGGCAGATTTGGCAGAGGTTGTCTAAGGTCCCTCCACGTCTGAAGTGCACCTTTGCATTTGTTGCAACAAATAAAACTTACTGACTGACCTCCTGCCCTGTTGGCTGGATTTCAAAGTTGGTTTCATCGGTATTAATGAGGACCCACTCAACTTTGACATCATCTCCTTTGTCTTTCACGTAGAGCTGAAGCTGTGGATAGGAAAGAAGTTATTGGAGAGGGTTCTGGTAACATTTAAAGAAATTTTAAGTCAAGCTCCACGCTGATGCTCACCAAAGGAAGAATACCTGTTGCTGAGTCAGCATGTGCTCAAGTGACAGTCTAAGAAACCAAAAGTTACTCGAGAGCATATGCCAGTTAAAAAGAGTATCTTTGTTCTACATATCTCAACAATCTACCCAAAGATTTATTTATCCATTTGTCCTAAAGAAGAGGCTTAATTCATGAATTTATAACTCACCCCAGATAGAACTGTAACATTATTAAATGTTTTACTGGAGTTCAGATAAGCTTACATGCATTTTTCAAACAGGAGGTGAAAACCTGATACCATCTTTCAAATCTTTCAGCTGAGCTGGGGGATGAGATGTAACAAGAGAATAAAAAAAATAATAGAGAATAATACTTAATGCCTTACCTGCAAGAAAACTGGAGACAGTTTCACGCTGTATGACTGGCTTTCTGCAGCTTCAGGTGAAGTACGTGAGACACTGAAAACAAACGTAACGGAATCTCCCACAACATTACAAGAAACCACCTAAAGAAATTAAAGGGGGAAGAGGCAAAGGAAGAGAAAAATAATTTAGTCTTCAGAAGAATGGTGAAAGCAAGAAAGCAACTAAGAAAATGAAGGATTTTAGGCTACCAGAATTATGCTACGTTCTGCAGCTAGAAGATTTCCAGGCAATTTCATTAACATCCCTACCTCCTTCTACACATTCAATTCCAAACACTGCAGTTCAAACATACACTTCTGGATTAATACCTGAGAATTCTGGCATTTTCCAAAATTTCTTTTGTGTTATATAACACAAGATAACTCCTCACCTGACGAAGACTCCTTGTGTTTCACAGACCTATACATCAGAATCTCTAAGATCTAAATTTTTTACTGTGGATAAAAACAAGTTTGTTCTCCCTCCTTTCCTACCCAGAACCAGGCATCCTATCATAGGATGATAGGTTCATTACAATGAACCAGGCAAGATTTATTTTAGTTTTTTATTTTTTTATATTTTTATTTTTTATTTTTTATTTTTTAATTTTTATTTATTTTATTTTTCACATCCTACAAATGTGAAACTTTGGCATAATGCTGCTGCTGAGATGATTTTGAGTAATTCCACCACTGGGGTGGTGATGGGCAGAAGCCTTTAAAAGTCTGAGTCTTTGACCAAACCAAGAAAGGCACTGAGTGTTGGTGGTGAAGCTAAATGTGTGGGACAAGCCTGAATGCCATACGCTTACTTAAGTACACACCCTGAGCTTTATAAGCAGCAATTTAACCTGTTATCACAGTGAGTTTACAAATACAGAATGTTTTTTTGTTGTTGTTTTTCCCTCTCCCTCTTGAAAGTAATTGAGGTTTTGAGCTGGTGCTCAAAGTCCCACGAACATGCAGAAAGCACCTGGCAGCAGAGGAAGGCCCCAGGTACAGAAGTCAAGTCATGCATTAAGCCAGGGAGAGAAGTTCACTTTGCAAAGTTGCAGCCTCTGCTGGTTGAAGACAGCTGCTCATCGCACTTCCTCTGTGGTTACTGTCCCACAGCTCCACCACTGGAAAGGTGAGTTAAATGCTCCTTGGATGGATTCAGGCCAAGTTAACCAGGTTAATGCGATGCACAAATCGTTTGCTGCAAGATTTGTTTGAGGGAGACTCTGCACATACGCCAGTGAATTATGTTTGTGCACTTACTGCTTCACTTACGAGCACTGGAACTAAAGCTGAAGGTTTAAAATGAATCACGTACCTAAGGAAGATTCTTATCAGTCTCTCCTTAAATACACAGCCCATTTCCCAGGGCTCTATTGGATACGTTGTAAGAAGCACCAGAGCACCATCAAGGGCTTCTGAGCACATCCATTAAGGAAGAAATTACAAAGGAGCAGGGGGAGGGAGTGGACAGGACAAATAACTATCACAGCCACACCCATGAGCATCCAGATTTGCCTTTTCAGGTTTGTCTTCTGCAAACTCTAGGTGGGAAGTGGGAAAAATCTGCTTCCCTCACCTCTCTTCTTCCCCAAAACCTAAATTCCCTCAAAGCTGATTTATGTCCCTTAATCCCATATAATCACCATAAGCAGCCACAATTAGGACATAACAGTTTTAAGCGTTTTTCATAGCTAACAAGACCAAAACCCCTAACTGCTCATTTTACTTGTAGTTGAGTCAAAACACAGAATCACTCAATTCATTCACAATGAGGATGGATTAGCATGTTTTTTCCTTAAAGATGACAGAAAATGACAGGTCCTTTCTCTTTTTGGAGAGCAGAGAAGAGAAAAAGGACAGGTCTGATGCAAATACTGCTGACACTTGCATATCCTAAGCACGGTGGTTTACCACCCATACCCATCTGACCCACACATGCATGGGAAGTTCATGCATTCAGAACAAGTTGGACCTGCTGCACATGTGGCGCAGAGCCATTCGTCTGGAGCTTCTGGACATCTAAGAGACAGGGTTACCAGGTACACAGCTGATTACTGCTTTAAATAAAACAAACAAAAGCGCGGTAGAAGAGTTCGTAGATGTGTTCATGTGCTACTTTTTTCTTTTGTTTTCACTTTCAAGTAGAAGATGGAAACATGATCCAAGTGGTGGAACTTCTACTTTTATTTCCCTGTTTGCTGATGGAAAATTACATATATCACACAAAAACCTTTGTACCTGGAGTAGCACGATGGTTTACAGAGTAAGAACACTGAGAAAGTAGAATTCTTGGTAAAAACTTGAAGAGAAAGAGGTTCTGTTTTCATCTAAGATGCTGCCTACTAGCAAGAGACCGCAACTGCCACTTCTCTTTGTAAGTGACATTTCTTTAGAAATGTAGCAGATTCTTTTGATAGACCTGAGCAGAAATATGTAGGCCATCTGCTCCAGAATAGCAACATAAATAAAAATACTGAAGCTTCCTGTGCTGTGCTCTTCTTCCACCATGGCCCCATCCAGCCTGCTTCCTCAAATTCCCTTTCTCTGAGCCAGTGAAGAGCAACTACCAAAAACCCCAGCTCATTCCTATCCTGCAAAGCTCTAGCTAGAGACAAAATGCATTTGCCAGCAGGAAAAGGGAAAAACTCTGGATTCCCAGAGGGGTTATGCTCCAGCTCCTCGCCTTCGCTATCTTGTAGCTGGACAAGCAAGACCTCGTACTCTTGCAGTAGAAGGGTGAGGTGAAGCAGTGGCACAAAGACACCAGGACTCTTCCACCAGCAAGACCAAAGTGCCTTATCACACCAGCATCTCCCCATGGACAGACACTCCACCACCAGCAAGGCATCTCTCTGTGCCCTTTGAGGATCTTCTATCCAGCAGTGGCTCCCAGCCCTTCCTCTAAAGTTATTAGTAAAATTACCCTAAAACACTGTTCGAGGCAAACAAGAAGGAACAAGACTGAAGAAACATTACAGTCAGAGTAAGACAAATATTTTTCCAAGTAACTGAAGTGCCCAAACATGTGTGCTCACAGCTACCAAAGTCCTGCCCTCCTGCTCTGCCTTTCCCCTCTCGATCTTGACTCTGCAGTTCCTCTGGACAGAGCTGCAGAATTTCAGCTTCTCTCCTTTCAGCAAAAGCTACTTCAGTTCAAGGAGAACCAGAATGCCTCTCCTTGTCACTCAGGCTGTCCTCTTGCCTTGAGATGTTTCAGTATTGTTCCTGGCACCACACAGATTTGTGCTTCACACACAGCCTTGCTGTTACTCCTCCAGATCAGCACTTCTTCCCCATCTCTCTGTGCGAGACAGGAGAGCCCCTCCTGTGGTAAGAGGGATGGTGAATGGCCATGATTTCAGAAGGAAGTTCATACAGTCCAGCAGAAGTTCTTCTCCACCTTCCCCAAGCCTGACTGTATCGTGTGCGTGTGTAAAACTCCCAATGTTACGGGCCTGATTGGTTTTCCTCTGGACAGAAATCAGTTTTACTGCATTTAGCATCTACTTCAAGAAAGAACAAGTTACTCGAGGCCAAGAAACATGTATCAGTACCATGTAAGCAATAAAAATCTTTCAAAGTTTGCACAAGAAACAAGTATACCCTGAGGCAGCAACGCAGTGAACACTGTTTTCATCTCAACTCCAGGGATTGGGATGCTATGAGATTTAGGAGCCCCACAATTTCCAATTTTGGTTCTGGATTACCGCTCTGAGAAAGAGAAGGCCCTCATTCTGTCACAGACATGTTATCTTGTCCACGGCCACAAAGATGGTTTGCGTGCTCAGCTTAAAACCTCCCCACAGGAAACTTTTCCAGTCAGAAACTTCTGCCTTTTCACAGTCATTACACTCAGCTGTTTGAGAGGAGAATTACAACACCTTCCTTGGCTAAGCGAGCCTGTACATCAACTTCTTGAGGGGCTTTCTGTAGCTTCTACGCCATTCCGTCTTCACTCGAGCAGCTCATTAAATGACAGACAAAATCAAGGACAGAACACAAACGCAATGTCTAACCCAGGCACAGCTAGTAGATGATTTTTAGAAGCTGTTATCAAAGCAAGTTTGCCTGCAAATATAATGAGAAAACCTCAGATCAGTTTTCCAAAGTGACAATAAGCACAGGGATGAAGGCAGGGTGAATGACGGAATGAGTGCACAGGAGGAGGAGATACCACAGGAGCAACAGAAGCAAAACAAAAACTGATACACCAAGTGAATTTATCCATTCCTTTGTGTCTGACAGGCAGACAAATTCAAAGCAGTGGAAAAAAGGGCAGGGGGAAGGGTGGTTAAAAACAACAATCAGGGAGTAGAAGCAGACGCGAGAGGTAGACTTTTCAATCAGCCTATCAGGCCAAGCGATCATCAGATGGTGGGAGGACAAGAAGCAGTACCTATATTTAAGAAGGTGGAAAATAAACACCAGAAATAGACCGGGTAGTTTGGCCTCACTAACATGCAGGTTAAACAAGCAACTTAGAAGGTGGCATAGCTGAAGACACTGATACAAATGGAAGACAAAAAATGCAAGAGAGGTTTGCCAGCTTGTCCTACAGTAACTTGGAGAAAGGCACTGGGGTGCTAGGGTACCCCTGGCACTTGCTGGCAGATGTGGCACAAACCTGCAGGAGGACCACGAGCATCTGCAGCTGCCTGACAGTGCCAAAACCAGCATTATCGCCACTGAAGCAAACAAATCCCAGCCTGGACGTCTTCCTTTGACAAGAAACTCAGTTCCTAGGTAGGTTAGATCTATTATGCTGTCTTGCCTGTTTTAACAAGGACACCTATGTCCAAAACTCCTCAGCAGAAAACTGAAAGAAAATATGAACTGAGGAAAGAAAGCTGGGAGGCAGCAATATAAAGGGAGATAAGGACATTACACAGAAAAGCTGAAAAACCTTGATGACTAGAAGAGAAATGTAACACCAAATTCAGAGCACGTGTGCCAGAATCAAGAAATAAGCTCCACTCTATAGAGGCAGTATCACTAGGAGAAAACCAAAGTAAGAGAAACCTGGATGTATCAAGTCAACCACAGTGTGAAGCAGCCGCAGGAGAGGCAGATGAGAAGCCTTAAATGCATTGGGAAGAGCTGTCGGAGGCACAGGGAAGCAGTCGATCTCAACACACAGGGAGACCTTGTTGTTGTGCTGTGCTTCACTTTAGCCATCATGTTCAAGGAACGTGAATCCAACTGGAGCGGCCGCAGAGACCGGACGCAAAGGCGTGACTGGCAAACCAGCACTGTGAAAGGAGACTTGAGGAACACCTTATTTACCCAAGCCAAACAAAGGCTGGAAGGAAACATAACTCCTCCGTAATGTACTTAGTGACAGAAAGCACCAGGGAAAAAAAAGTAAATACCGTCAGGATAAAGGATTATGCTAGTACAGGAAAAAAAAATATATACAAAAAATAGCTGCATAGGCTATGATTCTTCTTAAGGTTGTAAAAAAAATAATAAATAAAAAACAAGCAAACAATAATTAAAAGAGCAAATCTCCAGGACAGCTTCTGAAGCACAAGAAGGAGTTAAAGGACAACAGAGATTGCACGTGGTGGTCAGGGCGGTTCAACCCACCAACACTAATCGTCGATAAACACATGCACACAACCAGGGACGAATCCCAGGTAATGCTGTAGCATTCAGGATGAGAAAACAGCCTCTCCTGCGGTGGAAAACAGCCTTTGCTTCGCAATGCCTTCACTTGCTTTGGAGCGAGTGGAGCTGGGTGAGCTGCGGCAGGATGCCAGCACGGGCTGCCAGCTGGAAGCAAAGGGAGACAAGGATGAAGCTGCAACAGCCGCGCGGTTGAACGAGGCCTTTTTGTCAGCCTGCAGAGAGCCCTCCTTCCCCTCCACGACTTCTCCCAGTGAGATTCATCAGATCAAGGCTTCCCGTTAGCTTTTCTATTTGCTATTGCCTAACGCGATGCGGGACAGTCACTCCTCTGACAGCAACTTCTCATGAACCACTTGTGAAAGGAAAAGCGAGCAGTGGGCCCTCTGAAGGCATTTCTCAGCTCTGTTTAAGCTTGAAAAGGAGGGGATTTCTGCTCCAGTTTTACGGTTAGGGAACAGACTTGGAAGTTTGCTCTGCCTAAACCCTTCCGTGCCAAGCTCGCAACAAGAGAATTGTCTTCCCTGTAGCCTTTTATTGTTTCTGGGAAGTTCAAAGCCTCTGAAAATAGACTGCAGTAATGGAAAGGTTGGCAGGATCAGCTGAGAATATTGCTAATGTTTACTTTATTGAAACAAAACAGCCAACACCACACAATGAAAACAGGCCTCTTCGTTCTATATGTTTAGGCTCCAGCCCAAATCTGGAGCGACAGCTACGTATAAATAGAGGCTTTGTCGAGAGGCAGCGCGGTGTAACCTTCCTCCACGGAGCAGCTCCGTCACGATCGCAGCGGCGTTTGCCAAGTTCACAGCCAGCAGCTTCCCTGACAGCGTTCGCATCGGCCAACACACGCCGCTTTTACAGCCTCGAGCTCCTTCAAGGCAAGGACAGCCGCATGCACCTCAGGACAGCACGTGTCGGAGCGCGGCCTGCTCATAAACAGGGCTGTCAGCGGTAATAAAACAGTGACAGCCTGTCTGGCAATCCTGTATTGATTCGGCATGAGTGCAGGCGAGCCTTGCCAGGCACGAGGCTCGCACCCAGCACCATGCAGGATCCTCCTCTGGTGTGCTCCATGGCCCAGCACTCAAGAGGATAAAACTATCCACCACAAAAGAGAAGCATGCCACAGGGATCCATCGCCACACCTCTGCATCCCACGGTTACAGATTTTGAACTCTCACCCTCATTCCTCTGTTTCCTTTGATGACCACAACCTCGCTGATGCAAAGTCTTCAAAATACCTATTTAGAAACGACGTGCAATAAATCAAGCCCTGGCTGCTGACCAAGGCTCCTATACGCTCTCGCCACCCAGATCACAAGTAAAGCAGCATGCTGAACCAGTTACAGGAAAGCAGTCCTGTGCCAGCTGATGCCCCAGGCAAGTGCAGAGCTCTGTGGGACGCTACAGCATTGATAAACAAGCAGCATATGGTCACAAGCCACATTCAGAGCCAGTCAGACCAGAGGCCTGAGCCTGGACAAGCTGCCAAGAGAGATTTCAATTTCATGTTGTGTTTTCTGGTAATGCTTGCAAAGATTAAGGCTTTGAAGAGCAGGGGGAAAAAAAAAATAAATCCAAAACTTTGGACCTTTGGTATTTCCTGAAGAGTACATAAGAGAGAGAATTACCACATGAGAAAACTCCTGAGGTGTTTAGAGAAAGGTACAAATTTAGTGAAGGAGCGAAAGTAGCACCCGAGTGCAATTCCAAGGCTATTACATACTGAAATCCAAATAAATTATTCAGGTTATACCTTAACTGAAGGCGTACGAATCATTCAGAGCAATTTTTCTAGCAGCTACACACACGATTATGGAAACAGGTATTGGCGCAATTCAGAACAACCCAATTTACATAAGCAAAACTGTCTTAATCCAATACATTTTAAAAAGTGCCTATATTGCTTCAAGCTGCTATGAAACCCCATTAGATTGCTGGTTGCAATATTAACAGCTCCATTAGCATCCTGAAATGGCTCAACCCAAGGTCAGACAAGGACCAGGGGACTGCGGGCAACAGCACAAAGCTCCAGGTAGAACAGGGCGAGAGAGCAGCCCCACAGCATGGCTTTGTGTCACCCGCCTCAGGCCACTGTGGGGCCAACGCTCCTGAAACATCACAACTTTGCCAAGGGAGGAGAGAGCTTCAATCTCACTAGCCCTAACTGCTGGGGCAGGGAGCACTGGTAGGAAAAAAAAAAATAAAAAATTGAATCAAGGCTAGAGAACAAGTGCACAAATGTCTTTACACACTGGCAACCCCCAGCTGCCACTGATCAATCAGGGCGTGACTTTAAGATGAGTATCAGACAGATGAGCATGCATAGTTTTTAAAGGAATCACAGTATAGCTGCTTAACATTTAAATCAGACAAGCAAACAAAAACAACAAAGCAGAACTAGAAGTATTAAGCTAAACTGATTCAGGTGCCTGAAGCATCAGTGCATGTTGACTAGTAGTTACAGTAACTAGGATGAAAACGCAAAAGTTGTCGTTGCTAATAAGCACACAACCGTTTTTTTTCCTTTTAAGGCATCTGTACACTATTTTAAGAGCCACATTCTGCCTTATTTTAATATTGTGTGCACGAAGTGTGGGAAAAAACACTTCCTGGTAGGTGCTGGGGGGGTGGGTGAGGAAGAAGCAAACAATCCCTTCCTCACTGAATATAGGATTCAGTAGCCACGATGTCACCCTGAGGACTCTGCACCTGCCCCACTGATCCTTATCTGGCTCGGACTCATGAAGCAAACCTGTAATCAGCCACACAAACAGCAAGCAAAAGGCAGACAAAGATGCTTTCCTGTCCCAGAGGAGAAGTGTCCCTTTCCTTCTTCATGAATTCCCCACCCCACGCTTCAACAATAGGACGGGGAGCCGTAATGACGGGGGGGGGTGGGATAAGGCTGCTGTAGGAGGTGACAAAAGGTGTTTCTATAAACTTGGCATAGCTCTAGTTATTGTTCATTTGGTAGAAGCCCTGGAGCACGCTGTTCATGACTTGCACAAGAAGTGAATCAATGCAAAGAGTTTGCACAGGCTCATTAGAGAGGCAGTCCCTTACCAGCCTCCACAAACTCATCAGGTCAAATGTTCAAAGTACTGAGAAATCAAACTCCTGCTGACACTCATACAAAAAGTTACACTTCTTGCTAAAAAGTAAACTGAAACAAAACAAAAATGAAGTTTACCTTCTCTTGAGCTGACTTTACCACACTAACAACTTGTTTAACTGCTAGCTCAAGTGGTTCTGGTCGGTCATCTTCCTCAAATGTCAGCAATTGTGAATCCTAAGAAAGAAGAAGAGAAGCATTATTAGCTGACAAACCCATCACTTGAAAAGGAGTGATGAAAATTCATGGCCTGTAAAGATCCTGGAAGAACCAGCGACAGAACTGCAAGCCTATGTCAAAACTCATGTGTTTTAATTGTGTGACAGCTCACCATGTAATACAAGGTAGAGCCTGAAAACCTATACTTAGGACATACATACCGGCCTAATCATCTTTCACTGTACAGAATATGAAGGTATACAACATGCTGCAGGGCGAAGCCCGTGCGCAGCGACAGAGCTCAGCGAAACTGCTCTTCCTGATAAGGATTAACCAGAGTTATGCTCCACGAGCGTTTTTGGTTTGGCCTAGCAATAAAATAATAATTTTTTTTTTTTTTTTGGGGGGGGGAGGGAGGTCATGCAGCTGCTCTAGTCTACACCAAAACTAAGAAAACCCAAAGCCCAGCTTGCAGAGGTGAGGGACGAGCCCCTCCCCAGGCCTTGCTGGTGCGTGGAAGCGGCAGCGCTGACAGCTACTCGGCGTTGGCAGCAGCAGCAGGGCAGCAGGCGCAGGTTTTGGCGGTGAGGTCACGCTCCTGGGGCACCAGCTATTGCATTCCCCAGGCGGTGCGCATGCCGGCACAGCAGCAGGCAGGGATTTGACGAGCTGCCTGGTGCTGGGGAGCAGCACGCTGCTGCAGTGCCAGGCGGTGAACTCATGGCAAGACACCGCTCCAGCTGCTCGCTCTCCAGCTGCACACCAGGCTCCGCGGCTTCGCTCTCTGGATAGGGACAAGACGCTGCTGCTCGCCTCTCCGTTTCGCTTCCCAGCACCTGTTCCCAAATCCTTTCGGCTCCCCTCTTCCACCAGCAAACCCTCGTGTCTCAACCCAGTCTTTCTGAGCCCTGCAAGCCCGCAGGACGCCGTATTTTCCTTCCGCACGTCGCGCTGCTCTCCTTATCTCCCAGGCACACATGTTGCCCGGCTCTTCCTCCTGCCCCAGCCTCCCCCACCACGCTCGGCAAGCCCCGGGTCGCTGCTGCCCGGCCACACGGAGCCCTGCCAGCACCACGAGTGCTGCGGGCAGGCTCCCTCTCAGGCTCACGCCACGCAGCAGCACCGGCTCCTTCATCCCCAGCGTTTTCCACTACAGCAGCCAGCTCCCAGTCCCCACAACTGGGACATTTGCTGCCCCTAACCTCGCTGCCTTTTGGGCACAGCCACCCCCCCACACACACAGCCCCTCCGCCGCCCTGCACCGCAGGCACCCCGGAGCCCCTCAGGCAGGCGGCGGGGCTGTGTTTGAGCGCGGAGGGCCTGGGTTTCTCCCCGTGCCGTCCCACTCCTCCCTTCCCCGCAGCTCCCCGGCACTCACCGCCCTGGCCGCCGCCTCGTGGCGCAGCGCCGCCACCCATGCCCGCCGCCACTGCCGCCGCCAGCTGCCCAGCGACAGCGCCCAGCCCAGCACCGAGCCGCCCTCCTCCAGCAGCTCGTCCCCAGGCCGACACGGGGGCTGCTGCTGCTGGGACTGCTCCTCCTGCTGATGGTGCTGCTCCTGCTGCTGCTTGGGGGTCCTCCGCCGCCTTTCCCCTCGCAGTGCCAGCAGCGCGTACTGCACCAGGTAGACGGCCAGCGTGGCCAGCGCCGCCACGAAGAGGGCGACCAGCGCGTACCAGCGCAGCTCGCCCAGCCCGCCCGCCAGCCCCGCCATGGCTGACCATAATGGGAGCCGCGATACCAGCCCCCACCGCCGCCACCGCCGCCACGCCGCGCACCCAGCGGCCGCAGCCCGAGCCCGTCGCCGTGTCCCTGTGTCTCTGTGTCCCTGTGTCTCTGTGTCCCCGTCCCCCCCCGCACCCAGCGGCCGGCGGCGGCCCCGGGACCCGCCCGGCACCGCCCTCGGCGCCCGCAGCGCCCGCCCCCGCCGCCGGGGCGCTGAGGGGAGGCCGGGCCCGGCCCCTGCTGCCGCCATCCAGGCGCTGCGTGCCCCCTCCCCGCTTCGTGTAGACGCGAGTTTCCCCCTTTTTTTGGGGGGTGTTTTGGGGCGCTGCCTTATCGCTGTGTCCTCGGTTTTGTGCTGTTTGCTGTGCCTGCTCGCCCTCTGTCTCACACTGACCTACTCCTAGGCAGGGAACCTCTCACCTGTGTGTGTTATTTCACCCAATCCGTGCCCCAAAACAACCCGTGATCACAGAATCACAGAATTTCTAGGTTGGAAAAGACCTCAAGATGAAGTCACTGAGGCTGGCACTGAAGCACCGCTTTAACTTCTTGCTCCACTCAAGTTCAGACTGTTGCTTGACAGGGCAGAAATACCCTTTCTTAGCTGGAAACTGGGATTCCAGATCTCTGGGTGTGTGCCGTGGGCCACAGAGGGAAATGGACAGGGCTCTGTCAGGGGAGCCCAAGGGTGGCAGATGTTGAGGTGCAGAAGTTGTGCAGGCTCGCAGACCACACTGCAAATGCTGGTGTGCTGGACGTTTTCAGGCTGATTCATAGCTAGAAGCAAAGGTTAAAAAAAAAAAAAAAAAAAAAAAAGGAAGTGAGTACATAAGTGAGCACATTACAGAGTCACCAAATGGCTGAGGTGAGAAGGAACCCCTGGAGGCCACCTGCTCCAAGCCCTGCCCAAGCAGGGCCACCCAGAGCAGGCTGCCCAGGGCCAGGCCCAGGCGGCTTCTGGAGATCCCCAAGGAGCCCCCACAGCTCTCTGGGCAGCCTGTGCCAGGGCTCCTCACCCGCACAGCACAGAAGTGCTGCCTGCTGCTCAGGGGGAGCCTCATGTTATTTGTGTGCCCATTGCCTCTTGTTGGGGTGCTGGACACCACTGCGAAGAGCCTGGCTCCATCTTCTTTCTTCATATAAGAGATGCTCCAGACCCTTAATCATCCTTGTGGCCTTGTGGCTGGACTCTCTCTCCCCACCACGTCCCTGTCTCTTGTACTGGGGAGCACAGAACTGGTACCCAGCACTCCGCCTCACCACTGGCCTCACTGGTGCTGAGTGTAAGGAAGGATCATCTCCCTACTCCTGCTGGTAACATTCCTCCTAATGCAGCCCAGGATACTGTTTGGTGGTCTTTGCCATGATGGCATGTTGCTGGTGAACTGGGAAACCTCACACTCCATTTACTGACCTGCTGCCTTCTGCCTGCCTGGCTCCTGGCAGGAGATTTACAGTGTACCTACAGGATAATACCAAGGAGCAAGCTGGTGAGATCTCCAGAGATCCAACCAATTGCTACATTAGCACAGCACCGTACGTGGGTTAATTGACCCTGCGGAGAGATCAGATTTATTAGCTGGGAACGTTCAGTTTAAGATCAAACCTGGTGTCTTTGCTCGTATTGCACTTTGCTGTACCACCTGGTTTGCGGATAGCTCAGGGATTTCTCACACAGCACTACAGGATGACAGACAAACGTGCCCTTAGCTCGTCCCATGTTTCAGTTCCCCACATATGCCATCTAGACAGTTTTCTTTAACTGGCACGAGTGTTGTGAGACTCATTACTGAATACAAAATGAAAAAAAAAAAAGTAAAAGATTACACTGAGATATTAAGAACAGTTTCCCTTTCTGGAATTTTATCAACTAGTTTGTTACTATAAATATTCTATGTTTTTACTTTTAAAGTATAACAAAAGTATATGGCAGCTAATATTTAATTACTTTCCCTTTTCATATACTTGTGAACTTGGAATAGCCCTCTCAGAGCATTCAGGATCTTGCCCATCAAAGTATAGCTCTGGGGATGAGATTAGTAAAGTAATTAGCTGTTCATAATTCCACGTTCTTTGAAGCTGGGAAGTGTGATTCTGACTTTTCTGCTAGGCTCTCCACTGTATTTCTATTAAAGAACCTCTGTATTTCCCAATCTCAGCTTTCTTTTTACTTAGCAAGTATGTATCTGTACCAGTGATGGCTGAAAAGCAAGATTAAAATAAGGTGAAGTGAGAGAGAATGGTACAGAGTTGACCTCACAAGGATTCTGGAACAAGAGAGTTTTAAACACATCATTTATTGCAGTTTTCTCACACCTCCACGTTTTGGTCTTTTCAAGCCTGAATTTTGTAAACTGTTTCACTCGCTGTGTTAGAAAGGCAAGATAAAAACTGCAGACACGTAGCTTGCTATGACCTGGTCTATACTAGAATGGTTTCCTGTTAGAGCTACTCTAGACAGATGAACAAAAACAAAATATCTCACCTGGTAACCAGTGCTGCCGGATTCATCATACATCCAAGTTTCTGGAGATGCTCTTGTTCCCCTGCAGACAGAAGGGGGGCAGAATTTTAGGACCTCGATAATTTGTTTGAAATGTCCAGATCTGTTGCCTGTGGACGGGACAGTGGCTAGGGCTTAGCACAGGCAAATGGGGGAATGGTGTGTGCCAGGGTCCTGTCCTGCCTTGGGCTGGGACACAGCAGAGCTCAAACCTAGGACCTGGAAAGTGACCCTGAGTCCCATGGTACAGATGCAGGCAAAAGGGTCAGATGAGATCATAGTTATGTCATCAGTTACATTTCTAAATCTGTAAGTAAAACCAAAACAAAACCAACCAAAACCAAAACAAACAAACCAAACCAAACCAAACCAAACCAAAACATGAAGTGCATAACATGAAGTCCAAAACAAGTGTTCTGTCCAGGCAGTATAAAAGGGGAGCTTATTTGGCAAAACTGCCCTCTGGCCAGTGGAGCTTTTTTTTTTTTTTTTTTTCCCCAGCATCCTGGGACTCTGTGGGATACCGCCTTTACCTGTGATGTGGCTATAACCATGCCTTCCTTATGAGATTTCATTTGCCCTGTCAACTTGAGGTGAAAACACTTCATGTATTTCACTGCCAGCTCTGCTGGCAGGGGCAGACCTGTAAATCTCCACACATGAAACGTGACCTCTTAGCACATTACTTGGTCCCATATATGTGTGGACCATTATCCCTTTCGCATATAGCACTTGAACCTCTTTACCACTGTTCTACCCTCAGTGCCAGAGGCAGGAAACAGGCACATCCTTCTACCTGCTGACCCTGGCAAGTCTGCTCAGGGGTTGTGGGGCAGGGAGAGGAACAATCCTACAGCCAGAAGATGAGTTTCTGCATTTTGTCCTGCTCTTTCTTGTACTCTCTGGTCTGTTTTCTGTAACTCCCTTCTAGCTGAGATTTGGCACCTATGACCCTTCTTGTCTCACATGACTTGACATACCAGAAACATTGTCCCCTACTCATTGATGTCTGTCTGAGAAAGAGAGCAAAGGGCTGGAGCAAGGACCAGGTGGGATACCCAGAGAAGCACTGCTGGAAGTAGGTCAGCAGTCCTGAGACCAGAGGAGTTGCCACGAAACAGGCTTTAATACCTAGGAGCTAGCATGGGGCAGTGAGGCTAGCACAGGGCAGGCTCTTCATCAGCAACAGCTCCTCCCACCAGAGAATATCTTCTTAATAAGGGAGTTCAACTACATACAAAAATGCTGAGGCGATGACGTCATTGGACCTCCAATTTGACTAATTATTCTTATTTTTGGTTCTTTTGCAAAATCAGGAGACATCTGATCTATCCAAGCACCAATCTCTGTTGGAAAAAAAAAAAAAAAAGAGTAATATTTGCATAGTGACATCAGTAGAAAGACTTCATTTCATTTAGGTTATTTAGTTCTCCTTTGCCCAAAGGTCTACATCTCCTAAGAGCTTAAGAGGGCACACTGCCAGGAGCTGAGTTTTTCATTAGATCAGGAAAATTGCTCTTATAGATTTGTTATTATATATGTTATTAATACACAAGCATGGTCCTGAAAACAAAAATCTTGAAAAACAGCCATGCACCATAAATATGATTGTTCAAAACAAGTTGGTCACAGTGTTTTATTTTGACTGATCATAATTAATTTCAAATTACATAGTTGGATATAAAGCACAACTATAATGCCACGTTTCAGTTCTACCTTGGAAGGAACTTGGTACACCTCGGGTACTTGTAGTTTCTTCTGAAACTATTCACACACCAAAAATACATCCAGAAAAAGAAAAAAAAAAAAAAAAAAACAACATGGAAAAAAACAACAACCACACAAATAATGGTACTGTCACGTTTGTATTCATCAAAATCTCAGTATTTTATTGATTAATCTTAGAAGTTTCTTAACATTTTGTTGTATTGTAACTACTTTCTTTTCTCTGTCGGGTTGCAATCTTCCCATGCTACAATATCTGGGTAAATAATCTCTTCCTGAGTGGTCACGACTTTGTGAAAGAGACAAAGGTTAACGACACGTGTCTTGAATCGCTGATCCTTCCTTTTACTACTTGTATCTGGCGATGCAATAAAAGAAGGAAAAGTATGTTCGAGAGTATTGTTTTTCTGTTACAGCAACCCTTCAAAAAGATATTTACTGGAGTTCAGCAAAGCGCCGTGAGCTTTTAGAAAGGAAAACATGACACGAGCATTTTCTTTCCTCCTTTATGTTCACCTGCTGGAGCCAGCTGTATTCTCCCCAGCAGAGAGCGCCAGGAAGCCTCAGTCCATGGGGCTGGCATGGAGAGGCAGCAGCTTGTGGTGCTTGGGCAGCCTGCTTGAGGGAATGGGTGAGAAGGCAGGGTGTTACGGTGTGGGCAAAGGGAAGGGCTGTCCTGCTCTGCTCTGCGCTGCTGTGGCCTCACCTTGAATACTGTGTGCAGTTTTGGGCACCACACTAAAAGGATATAAAACTACTAGAGTGTCCAAAGGAGGGCTACAAAGATGGTGAAGGGTCTGGAGGGCACCATGTATGAGGGGCGGCTGAGGTCCCTTGGTTTGCTCAGCCCCGAGCAGGGCAGGCTGAGGGGAGGCCTCATGGCGGCCTGCAGCTCCCTCACGAGGGGAGCGGAGGGGCAGGCGCTGAGCTCTGCTCTCTGGGACAGCGACAGGACCCGAGGGGACGGCATGGAGCTGGGACAGGGGAGGGTCAAGCTGGGGATTAGGGAAAGGGTCTGCACCCACAGGGGGGTCGGGCACTGGGACAGGCTCCCCAGGGACGTGGTCACAGCACCGAGCCTCACAGAGTTCAAGAAGTGTTTGGACACTGCTCTCATAGGGTCTGATTTTTGGGTGGCGCTGTGTGGAGCCAATGCTTAAAGCCCAATGATCACTGTGGGTCCCTTCCAACTTAGGATATCCTGTGATTCTCTGATTCTATGGGCAAAAAGCTTTAAACTCCTCAGTCATGAATTCACCTTATGTTCAATTATGTTGACTGTAAGTTAACATAATTAGTGTTAAATCACAATTAACCCCCTTGTATTTTCTCAGACAACTGTCTGCGCTGCAGAAACCATTGGGACAAGCTGGCATCCTTGGAAGTCCCAAGAGGGAGGCCAAGACTAAAGAATCCAGAGATGCACATCGTCTCTCCCCTCCCAGAGGTCAGGCAGAAAACATACTGGTTGGTGGAAGGAATAAATACTGGAGCAGAAGACAGGTTTTAGATGAAAGCGTAAATAACATGCCTTTGACTAAACAAGAATTTTTCTCCAAACTCAGAAACTGCCACAAAACAGAGTCAATTTCAAACACACATTTTTATATGCAGACACACACATACATACAGAGGGAGAGGTTCACTGTCTGTGTGGTGCATTCATGCGGGGCTCTTCAGGTGGATGGTACCTTTCAGTCCTTTGTTTCTGGCTCCTCCTAGTGCCCATACAAAGTGTTAGAGGCACATAATAAATTCTAGGATCATCTCCATAAACTCCACAGAGTTAATTACATCTCAGGCTCGATGTAATTCTTCTCCCAAGCCTTCTGAGCTGCATTAGTACTTCCTAAAAAACTACACAACTTTAAAACTTATTTTTTATTATCAGTGATTTTTCTCTATACTTACTCATGGTGAGCTTGCTTTTTCACATTTCTATCTTTAAAAAAATCAGTGACATGCTTCTATCAGATTTCTGCTGATGAAACCAAGTAATCTGAATGCAAGCTAACAAAGTTAAGTTTCCTTCTGGTGGCATCTGGCTGCTCAGTTGATTGATGAGTGAAGGGGAGGAAGGCTTTAGTTTTCCCCTTACAGGATCAGCTGTGTCAGGGACATCTTTCTTCCCCTAAACTATTTGATAGTCTTCATAGCATAGAGGAACGGGTACAGCTTCTTGTCAGCCAAAAAGGGTTGGAAGGTGTCAAACCCCAGGGGCTCCAAGCCGTTCATTAAGTAATGCTCCACCTGCCTGTGGAGTTTACAAAACTCAGCATGGTCTCTTTATAGCAGAAGCGTCCCTGGATGCTAGTAATCCCAGCAGGTCATGCTGCCTCATCACTGCTTCGTGTTTAACAAGCAGTGATCTCTCTTCATTGGAGAGATGCATGTTGCCCTCAAACATCAGCTTAAGTTAATGATAGCAGCCAGGGCTCCATGACATCCAGCTGTATCCATCCTAGGTCCTGGATGACCTGACATTAAGAAATTGTTAAAGGTTGTATCATAACTGCAGAAGTAATGTAAAGCAGATCCTTTGTTAGCAGCAAATGGCTTTGCCTTCAATGTCAAATTTCAATGTCAAAATTTTTTTTATGTCAAATATAGATTGTATGGTCTCTAGATCAGATATTAAATATTTAAGCAAATGTTAACGAGCAAATGCTCTTTAACAATTAACAGATGGAAAACTGTATGTAGATCTTGACTGGATGCAGAAGAAGTAGAGGTTATTTCCTCTTGCTGAAAGGAGAAAGAGGGAGCCAAACTTGTGGTGACTTACCACTCTGTGAAGGGATCAGTGAGCAGCTCTCCCCACTTTTTCTACAGCTCACTTATCTTCTGACACGCAGGGATGCTCCATGGAGGGACAGGCCAGGTGCCCTTTGTCCCTGTTTTCACAGAGATTTAGGGATTATCAAAGGCACAAATCCTCTTGACCTTGGAATACCCTTTCAACCCTTCATTTTGGGCGCTTGGTGGTACTTCAGCTCTGCCAGTATGTTCCACCTGACCTCAGGCCTCCCCCACTCTAACAAGACACCACACACACGCATGCACGCGCAAAAAGATCAGGTAACTGTTAAGCATGTGCTCTCACTGCTAATCTTACCCTTCCCACTAAGGCCCTTCTTTGCTTCCCCATCAGCGGTTTTTATGAAACTTGTTGGAGATTAATTCCTTCGAGGCCTTGGCTCCTCTTATTAAATGTGATTGAAATTGGTTGGTGGGTTCAACCAAATGCACCAATGGAAAATGGAAAAGGACGGCAGATGTGGAGTGCAGAAAAGTCAGAAAACAGCTCTAGTTTTCACAGGCAGGTGTCTTATCTGCTTTCAAGAAAGTAACCTAGGAAACCCCCTTCCCAAAAGATAGAGAAAATTTTCTGCATCATGAGAACGTGCACACTGCATTCTCACCCACGGGCTTTTGGAGATGGAAATCTATGCTGCAAAACAGCTTTTGATGAGAGCACTGCAAAACACCATAACCGTTCCTGACGGTGTATTTTCAAACATCTGGTTCAATCCAGCTTTAGATGAAAGAGATACTCAGTCAATGTAACCTTGCTTCCACAAAGTTGTTTTAATCATTGATTGCAGAGGAAGCAGAATTTGGGCACAGCTCAAGTTTTCATCAGATTTTCTACAGCAGTCAGTTTTCTTGTATTTTCCAGCAAAAAGTTTGCTGAGACACTTACTAAAGCACACAAAAAGTCATTATTTTAGTAAAGTAAAAACTGTCATTTGCATTCAACAACCAGATCAAAAGAAGTCTTTTTGTAAACAAAATTCCAGTCCCACAGGCACAATGGCATGTACAATAACATCTCAATTTGCCAAGAGAATCCAGTATAAAACACAATAATTCAAAAGAAACAAAGTGTAAGTTTATTGGACGCCAACATTTCTTAGTCAAGATCTAAGTAAAGAAAACACACAGTAGAAAAAGTTGTACAAAGCAGCAATGGATTTACATTACATTAAAGAAAAAAAGTTACCCTAAGCTAGTAAGTCTCAGTCCTAAAAAAAGTAAAAACCCATTCTTAATTAAAATTCAGCACTGGTGTATTGAATTGATATACAATGACTGTAAGGTATACAGGATTATAAAACCGGCTTCTTTTGTCTTACCTCTATAATGCTTTAAAATGACAAGTGATTTTACGTAACGAATTGGAAAATTCTATAGCAAATATATTGGATAATTCCAGCTTGTAGAAACTGTAGGAAACTGTTCCCCTGCACCCAAATACTACAAGTGATTCCATTTTCCTGTTTTTTTTTTAAAAGGGACACTGTCAAGAAGAAGCTTTAAAATGAATACTTTATACATCTTTTGTGAAGTTATTTTGCAAAAAGATTTTTTTTTTCTTTCTGTCTTTACATACATGTTTTAATTGAACATGCGGCTGCAGTAGTGGGAAGCTTGTATCTTTGGAAGGTATGGTGTATCACTGAAAAATCAAAAAAGGAAAAAACAGATCAGGTCCTTTATTCTGCAACAGTTAGAGAAAAAGCAAAATGAAAGATAAGCTCAGCCCACAGAATTCAGATACAATTTACAGGCATCCTTGAAACAACTGCGGATGCCTTTAGTAGGCATTCTCATGCCTAAGCAGCTCAAGTGTTGTGAGTCAATTCATGTTTTGAAATTGATTTTATTCATATCAAGTATTGTTAATACAGATAAGCACTTTTACAGTATACAACCTTTCTCTTGATAGTGTCCCCTTATGTACAACACTTATAGTACAATTTTTCACAAGTCATTTTAAATAAACAAGAATCAATGACATTAAAAAATACTATCAGGCTGTGTTCAACCAAAAAAAAAAAAAATTAACACTGATTCATTAACAGCAACATTAAAAAAAGCTAACCTTACTTTGATTTTTATCTAAATCTTCTGGTAGGAAAATGTAAACAATTTTATTGAACAGTATAGGCACATGCCAGATTACAGGCTCATGCCAGATATTTGCACCCTCACTGTTAGTGCCAAGAAGTTAGGCATAGTCTGTCCTTGTCCCATATGAGGAACTTCTAGTTTTACCACTGGAAGCTTGGAACAAAAACAGAGTACGTGTAGCTTCAGACCAAACCCGCACATCCTACTTGGGGGATAAAAACAAACAAACAAAAAAACCAACCACCACCACCAAAAAAAAAAAATAAAATCTACTGGATGCCACTAGAATGCTTGCCTAAATAGGAAATGCAGGAACAAGTCATGGCTGTGTGTTTTGGTTCACAGATAAGGCTACATCTCCATTCTGAAGGACGTAAGACAAACTCTAGTGTCACCCACTGCTTCAGCAGGTTATCTGCTCAGTTAACTGTCCGGGTGTTTCATTCCCCCTTATAGAAAAAAAAATATATATATATATACATGAAGTATAGACAGTATTATCATGGAACAGTTTGTGTTGGAAGGGACCTTAAAGACCACCTGGATCCACCCCACTGCCATGGGCAGGGACACCTTCCCCCAGCCCAGGCTGCCCAAAGCCCCATCCAGCCTGGCCTTGAGCCCCTCCAGGGATGGGGCACCCACAGCTTCTCTGGGCAGCCTGTGCCAGCGCCTCACCGCCCTTTGAGTAAGAATTTTGTCCTGATATCTAATCTAAACCTACCCTCTTTTAGTTTAAAACCTTTCCCTCTTTTCATGTCACTGCACTCCCTGACAGAGTCCATCCCCAGCCTTCCTGCAGGCCCCTTTAGGTACTGGAAGGCCACTGTAAGGTCTCCCCTGAGCCTTCTCCAGGCTGAACAACCCCAGCTCCCTCAGCCTGTCTTCACAGGAGAGGAGCTTCATCCCTCTGAGCACCTTTGCGGCCCTCCTCTGGACTCTTTCTAATAATTCTACATCCTTCTTGTGCTGGGGGCCCAGAGCTGAATGCAGCTCTTCAAGTGGGGTCTCAGGAGAGCAGAGCAGAGGGGCAGAATCCCCTCCCTCACCCTGCTGGCCACGCTGCTTTTGATGCAGCCCAGGATAGGGCTGGTTTTCTGGGCTGCAGGCACACATTGCTGGCTCACATCCCGTTTTTCATACACCAGTATCCCCAAGTCCTCTGCAGGGCTGCTCTCAGTCCATTCCTCACCCAGTCCTCGCTCTTGGCCTTGCTGAACTTCATGAGGGGGCGCACACCTCAAGCCTGCCAAGGTCCCTCCGGATGGCATCCCTTCCCTCTGGTCTACCGATGCACAAGCTGGGTAGCTTTGTGTCACCCACAGACTTAATCCCACTGTCCCTGATGAAGATATTCAGTAGCATTGGTCCCAGCACAGACCCCAGAGGGACACCCCTTGTCTTTACACTCAGACACTGAGCTGTTGACTAAAACTCTTTGGATGTGGCCCTCCAGCCAATTCTCTCTCCGTCCAACAGTTCATCCATCAAACCCACATCCCTTCAACGAGGCGGCAAGAATGTCGTGGGGGATCACACCAAAGGCCTTACAGAAGTCCACCTAAATGATTATTGGTTGATGTCCTTTGTTTCTGTAAAACTGCGGAAACTTTAGCTGTGCGTGCAGTTTTTATGTAGGGGAAAATTCATTTTAACTTTTGGTTCTAGAACTTAAATACTGTATCCATGTGTCTTTTTCTGCCATTTCTCACTTTCAGTGGGTGATCATGGTCCCAAAATATGAAAAACCTTAAGCATGTATTTAAAAAAAAAAAGTTAAGACTGATCTCCATGGAACTTAAGCATATGCTTAAACCTTTGCCAACACAGTGCCCGAAAGGAAGAGAAGTCCCCAAACAAAATACATTTCATGGCTCAACCCTGCTCCTCGTAAATGCAATGGAAGTTTTCGCTGGACTTCCACTAAAGCAGTTTAGTTCTCTGAGATTTATTGGACAGATTATAAAAATAACCCCAAAAGAAAGAATTAAAGATTCTAATCTATATATTAAAACATCTGCACATTCCTGTCACAAATTTTAAGAAAAAAAAAAAAACAACAGTTTTTGTATTTAACAAGAGCTCTAACTTTGCATCACCTCAGTACACAGTTACAAAATTAAACAAAATATGATGAGGACAGGTTTTTGTGTCAATAAATTTGCCTTTTATTTTGGCTGTGGCCAAGCTAGACACTCTTCAGAAGACCTTTATTTATAAACAAGCAACTAACATTTTTTTCTCCATAATTTAACTTTTAAAACATATATTAAAGTTATATAAGTGGAAGCATATTTATTCCGTATCCTCCAAAATAAACACTTCTATCAAGGGCTTTTAAAGATACTGTATAAAAAGCTAATAGAAAACCAGAACTACTATATAAACATCTCATATTTAAACTTCAGAGATCCTGAATTCCTTTACTAAGCAGGAACCGAATTTAAAAAAAAACAAAAACACAGAACACTCTCAAAGTTAAAAACAAAACTTAAAAAATTCTGCAGAAAAGCTTAGAAGGAGGCTATTTAGACCAGAAATATTTTTGTTTGTTTGTTTGTTAAATATAATACATCGTGTACTAGGAAGAAGGTCAAGGTTTCTTGAAAGACACTGTATGAGCTTTTGATTTTAAATGTGCCGTATTTATCATCATACCATACAGCAGAACCCAGTTGGAAGGTAGCGTTGATGAACTAGTTGCCACTATCCCTTAGAAAGCACACTGATTTTTAAATGGTTGGATAGAAACTATTGGAAGTGTATGTGAAGAATCATCGGTGAGAACTTAGGTACCAGTTGACATGTTGGTATTTTCTATGCACAGATTTCTTAAGCCCATTTAAAGCCTATTTAGCAAGTCTTCATGTCTTTCTCATTTTGTTAAATCAGGTTAAGTGTATTAAGCGTTTCATTTATTGTTTTTTTCTTGTGAGAAGGAAATTTAGTCTTATTTGATAGTGACATTTTCTATTCCACCTAATGAGTATGTAAGAATTTTGTTTCAATTGCAATTTCATGTCAAGAATTTGATATTCTTACAGTTTACCACATTCAGATGCAGTTTGCTTGGAAGCGAACAAAAAGGATAAAGTGTTACTACTAGCATGTATAGTAACAATTTCAGATTTTCATCAAAAAATGAAAGAAGAGGCTTGAAAATGGCATCACCTTTTTTGGTAGCTGAACAAAGTCAGTGGTCCATACTGAGCCAACACTTTTAAACTTAAATTGCAGGAAAAAAAAAAACACTAAAAAATTCCGTTAGGAAAAAAACTAACAGTGGCACACTTGGGAGAAGAATCCCCTCCCTGTGCGTGCCTAACCGAGGATGTACATCCTCAGATCCTGGGATCAGTGTGCAATTCGTTTGGAGTTTGGGATGCTGAAACAAACGCGTGATTAGAACCAGAGAGGATTAAAGCCTCACTGCTGCTCCCAGTGACATCGGCACCAGACTCCTGCTGCTCTCCATGGACACAGGCTGGGCTCTGGCTAGGTAGTGTGCGGTGCGGTCCCCATCTCCCAGCCTCCCGGGCTCGTCGGTCAGGGCCATAAGCACTGTCTGAGTCTCTTATATCCTTGCTGCTCACTTCAATCCAGCACCACTCCTTTAGGTGTAAATTCTAGCGGAAAATCTTCTCCCTGTTAATTTACCACTGCTTCTGGGTAAGTATTTCCTTTACTTGCAGAGTAATTTTGGACCCGTCCTATAGCTTCTATGATCCTGCTTATGCTAAATGCTCCAGTTGTGATTTGCAGTAAAATAATGGAACCACACGAAGCATCTGCAGCCCATTACACCCATGATTTTTAACAAATTAGAAAACTGCAACACAGTACCACAAATGATAGAAAGCGGCAGAAAGAAATACTCTATGCATTGTACTCCTAAAATACAGTGATTGTAGTGTGATGTCTTCTCCTCTGCTCTGCGCTGGATATGTACGCTTAATACAAATCTCAAATACATACTTCTTCATTTATACAGGTGTCTATATAAATATTTACATTTTTCGTTTTTGATAAAACCTATCTTTGTACTCATGGCCAAGCTTATTACTGTGTGTAGGAACACAACTATTCTTCTATCCCTCGACGAGCTCTCTTGTTTTGCTTTAATAGTTATACATTCCTTTGTAGTTAGAATTACAAACAGTTGTACAAACAGTGGAAACAAAATTTTGAAACTTGTCTGACATCTATTCAATCTCACTTCATGTTATAAACAGTACCATTTGAGTTATAATGGTTGTTAATACAACTTCAGCTACCGAAATATCTATAGTAAATTATTCTTTGGGACATTATATAAAGCGATGTACCCCCTCCCCCAATTTTTCTTAGAAACTTATAATTAAATGGCTGAAAGCAGGCTTGCTGCTGTTTTTTCTTATATAAAATCTCAGTAATAATATTGCTGACTTTAGATTCTATTTTAATTTGTACAAGTTCCATATAACAACAAACAATTCTCTCTTCCCTTAAAGTATCAAACATTCATATCCAATAATACCAGGATTACTGAAACTTGAGGTTTATTTGTTATTGCTAAAGATCTCTAAGACCCAAGTCGATACAGCAAGACACTCCATCCACTTCCTCCCTAACTGCAAGTGCACGGCAGCTATTTATATGGAGCTTGTGTGTTGGTTTCTTTAAAAGGAGAAAATGAAACATAAAAATAAAATCAGTGAAGTTGGTTACAGTATTTCACTACTATAAACTCACAGTTAGAATCCACATGGTTGTTGCTCTTTCATTTAATATATAACTTTATATATAATACACACGCGCACACCAACATCACAGGATGAAGATCCATGCATACAATCCAGATGCGATCGCATTTCAGTGTTAAATGAAATCAAAATATTCTGTTGCTATTAGATCCCAGACCACAGTATTTTAAATTACTCGGCTTGCTATCTACTAACCAAGTTAGTTTACCTTAATCTTCAAATCCAAGCAGCATCACAAATTCCCAATCTCCTGTCGCCGTTGCTTTGATCCTCTTCGTTTTCTGGTTTATATGGCAGACGTCCGAGATCCTGAAAATAGCCTCCACTGAGCCAGCTCTTTAAGGTATCTGTTAAAGCTAATTGTGTGTCTGTTCATGGCTCCAAAGACTAAAAGCTGTCTTGAAAGTCCTGTGACAGAGTTTACACATGTATTGTCTTTTGAACGTGATTGCCGAGAGCGGTGGAGCATGATAGAAGAGCGTGTCTGACTCCTGCGGGACAAATAATTTTTCAGTAGTAGCGGAGCTTTCGGACAAGCCTGTTGGGCTATCGGGCTCCAAAGGCTGGATTTTGGGCAGCGGTGGGGGTGGAGGTAAAGGTGGCGGTGACGGGGAATTAGCTGGCGGGCATATCTCGGGCTCCTTGTTCGAGGACTCCTCTGTAGCCTGGGACATGTGGGACTGGAAGTGACTCCAGAGCCGGAAATTGGTTCGGAAGGCCTTGTTGCACACGTGGCAAATGAACGGCTTGACGGAGCACAGGAGCTCTTGGTGACGCTCCAGCTGCTTGCGCACCGTGAAAATCTTCCCGCACTTCTCACAGGGCCACAGGCCGGCGTCTTTGTTGGAGACCTACTTCCTTCGGTTCTCTGCTCGTTTCACTGGCCTCTTCCTCTACGTCGTCTGTAGGCTCCTCCTTGATTTGGATTTTAAACTGCTTGGAAACGCTTAAGTCTTCGGGCAGGCACGAGGAGTCTTCAGAGTCAAAGTTGATCTGTTCTGACGAGTCACTGAATACTCCATCCTCCTTTGCGGCAAAATTGTTCACTTTATTGGACTCCGTCTGGGAAGGCAACCTCGACGAGCTCGTTACTTCTCCAGTTGTGATCCAGGATAGGCAAATAAAAGTTCTCTGTGGGAGACATGGTGTTCTGGTTGTGGACTTCCACCTGATGACGCCAGATACTGAAGGACGACTTAAAGGTGCGCATGCACTCCAGACAAGTGAGCTTCTTGTATTCACACTTGCTTTCGTGCTCATGCTTCAGCTCCGGGGAAGAAAATCTAAGGCTGCAGTACGGACAGACAGTAGCGTTTCTACAGAGTCGCTCGTGATTCCCCTGCTCAATAAGCGAAGACAGCTTAGCGTTACAGAGACGGCACTGATAAACTTCTTTGTTTTCCACCGGACTTTCAACGTGAGCGTGGTCTTTCTGCTTGGGAGCCTTGTTTCCTCCAATTGGTTTCTCCCCTGGGTGCATTTTTATGTGCTGTTTGAATTGAGAGAGGAAACGGTAAGCCTTCCCACAGTAGACACAGATATAGGCTCCTTTCGTTCTCGACCTTAAATTCCTTTTGATGACTTGTTGTGCTTGTGAAGCAGACTGTCCCTGAAAACCCTGCTTGCCACGTCGCAGTTTAACTATGAGAGCTTTCTTAATTTCTCTCTCTCTCACTATATCGATCAGTTTTCTTTGGAATTTTTCATCCAAAACAGCATGCGAGCTGGAAGCAGGCGAGGGATTCTTCACGATTCCATGCTGTGTCTGGCAGTGCGTCCACACTTTGAAATTGGTGTGAAATCTCTTGTGGCATATGTCACAAGCATAGGGCTTCTCTGGATTATGATACATGTTAACGTGACGGTGAAGACCCGCTGTTGATCTGAAAATTTTAAGGCAGTGCTTGCATTTAAATTTTTTATTTGGTCTTGCTTCTTCCATCTCACTGTATTCATCCTTGCTGACGTCGGAATCAGCAAAATCAGCATCAAGGTGCGTGGGGCTTGAGCCTTCCTCAAAGTTTTCTTCTGACTCAGGGGAACCTTGCTCATTCACCTTCAGTTTCTTAAACGGCAGCCTCCTATCCTGCTTGAAATCTCCTCTTTGCAGGAAGTCTGCTTGGCTCCTTATGATCATCCTCGGTTTTGAAAGCAAAGTCTTTATTCGTAGACACTGATGCGTCGCCCACCGTGACTCTAATTATTTCGGAAGGATCTGAAAGTGGACTGCTGGGTTCAGTTTTTATTCGCACCTCTGTGAGAGGGGAAGCCACCTCCCTATCGGTTGACTGAGAGGCACTGAAAGACCTAAGGCGATGTGGGTGCATTACCTGTGGCTTTTCGTCTAAGACTAACTTCTCTGATGACTCCTTCAAACACGACTTCTGAGATGCAACGTTAAACGTCTTCTGGGAATCGTTAGTTCCTGGTGAGGAGGAGGATGATACCTGTGAAGGTTTTAGGTCAACAGAAGGTGAATACATTGGAACCTGACTGTCCATGGACAGTGACCTTCGAAGGAGGCTTTTTACAAGTGGCCCACTTCGGTCAATACTTTGGTTTTCAGGACCAGATCCACTAGACGGGATTACCAGCCCTAACTTGGAGTAGTATAGCAAATTCCTGTCTTCACCTTGACCATTTCCTTTTCCTGCCTCTCGCAACAAAAACGTAGATTCCGATGAGCCCCGCAGAGATAAGACCGGAGGACGTGGCCTCTTTAATGACACCTCTGCAGCCTTTCCTCTCAAGAGCTGGCCGCTGCTTCCAGGTTCATCGCTTGCAATTTCTTTCTCTGCTAAGGGCTTTTGAGGCAGTACTGTGTTTCTTTTCACCAAGCCACATCTGCTCTGATCCTCTACAGTTCCAGAAGTTTCATGAAGCTTGGTGTAGCTCACAGGGTTGTCTTTCAGCCATCTCCTTTCAGTCAGTGATAAATTGTGAAGGGTTTCGGTGGGTTTTGCTGCTTGTGGTCTAATGCTAGTTTTGACAGCAACAGAGGGTAAAGGTTTAGAAGTATGGCTTAAATCATGTTGTGTTTGATTTATACTCTTCCCTTGTGCTTCAATTCTGTTCTGACAGACAATGACACTTCTCTTCTGAGAACTACTTTCCTCTTCATCTTGATACAGTATCTTCTTAACGGGGCAAGCTGGAAAAGGAGCTTGAGGGCTCTTAGAAACAATGTTTGTAAGAAAGGATATTCCAAGGCTGTAGCCCAGTTCTTGCACAGCTGCCAGACTGCCTTTCTCAATGAACAAGGATGAGGAATAGATGTAGTTCAACACATTATCAAAAGCATCTGGTTCACAAAAGTCGAGCTGAAACACCGACTGAGACTCATTCTCCTTATTTGTGAACAGAGTCTGGAAGTACTCACTGCTGGCAGCCAGAACGTTTTTATGAGCTCGAAATTTCTGGTCTCCTACTATCAGAACAACATCACACAGCTGTCCCTTTAGACGCTCCTCATTCAGTGCGCTCAGAAGTGAAATGGCATGTGCCGGATTTATGTAATGCAAGAGCCCCTCCATGATTCGGATGTTTCTGAAAGAGAACAACAAGAAAAAAGTTGCAGGTTGCTTTATGCAAACAGTTCTTGGAGGTAATGTGAACATAGCTAATCTGTCTGCCCTTCATAAACAGGCTAAAAGACCATCAATATTGCTGAAGCAAACAGCTAGTTTGGAGGACAGCTATGGGAATTAATATTGTTGGCCACAGCAGATGCACAGGCATGAGAAGAACCAACTCATGTTAAAGAACACTTTCAAACATACCTTAATAGTTGATCATACAATGATCTTACACAGATTATTACATTGAACTAATTAGAGGGGTGTGAAGGGGCTGTATTCTCTACCTGCAGTATACCCATCCACATGAAGGAATGCCATTTAATTGTTTCCCCTGATCACCTTTTTCTCAGCTTTAGCTTTACGAAGATCTACCTTGGCAATTGCAGAGATGAACTTCTGAATCAGATAGTGCTGTGGTTTAACCCAGCAGGCAGCTAGGTGCCTCACAGACACTCGCTCACTCCCCCACAGAGAGGTGGGGAAGAACCGAAAAAAAAGTAAAAGTGCAAGAACTTGTGGGTTGAGAGAGTTTAATGAGAACAAACGGAAGAAAGAACGAGAGAGGGAAAGGACAAAAGGAAGAATGGAAGAAAGAATGAAAGAACAGAGGAATGGAGGAACAAAAGAAAGGTAAAAGCACTTGATGCACAGCACAGCAGCTCAGCACACACTGGCTGACTGCCCAGCCAGTCCCCAGACAGCAGCAGCCCTCCCGCCTCGGCCAACACCCCGGTTTTATTGCTGAGCACGACGCCTGTGGTGTGGGACATCCCTCAGGCCAGCCCGGGCCAGCTGTCCTGGCTGTGCCCCCCTGCAGCTCCTGCAGCACCCCCAGCCTCCTCGCTGGCAGGGCAGCACGAGGAGCTGGAAAGTCCTTGGCTCTGTGCAAGTGCTGCTCTGCTACAGCTAAAACATCGGCGTGTTATCGCCCCTGTTTTCACTGTAAGTCCAAAACACTGTACTTGCAGCTATGAAGAAAATTAACTCCGTCCCGGCTGAAATGAGGATACTTAATTATGCCAAGTCACCTTCTAAAGTTAGGCAACCCTGACAGCCTCCTGCTGACGGAGCAAATTAAAGGGTTTTTGTTATTTTTAATAGGATGGAAAGGACAATAATAATGGGGAGGGAGACAGAAGCAGGATTAGTGTCTGTAATCTAGATGAATTCATCATGTTCACTTATATTTAGTGAGTGCTGTTAACATACCCTTCTAGCTATGATACATGTGTCACTTCTTACACTGCTCTGTCACAATCTGGTTTCTTGGAAATTTCATGATTTTGCTTGAAGCATCCCAGCAGGGCTTTGTTCTAGCTTAAAAATTATCACTGAGCTGAACGCCCCATCTTATTTATTAGCATAAAAGCAGTTTCTGCTAGAACTTCTACTAGAGGAACAGTTATCCCCAGATGTTACTGTTATAATTCGTTACCCTGTAAGTAGGAATTTTACACCATCTTCCTCTATGGTGATGTAGAACAAGTCAACGATGTGCCTGTTAGAAGCAGTTCTGTTCTTTTTGCAGCTGATTTAAGAAACTATTTAAAAGATATTTACATATGGTGTATGCTATTATAACACAAAGGTTTCGCTGCTGTGGTGGTTTTACCGTGCCAGGCAGCTAAACACCACAACTGCTCTTTCACTCCCCCTCCTTAGATGAGGAGCGGAAGAAGTAAAGCAAAGAACAACTCACGGGTTGAGATAAGGATAATTTAATTAAAGGGGAAAAAAAAACAAAAAAAAAACAAAAAAAGCAATAATTATTAAGGAAAGATTATTAACTAATCAATTTAACTAAAGGAAAAAAAAAATAAAGGAAAGCAGAAAAGGGAGACGGAGAGGGGAAAACAAATCAAAACAAAACAAATGAAGGCTATATGGAAGTGCAGAGGAAAGAAATTACTCTCTACTTCCCACGAACGAGCGATGATTGACCACGTCCTTGAAGCAGGGCCTCAACGCACGCAGCCAGTGTTTAGAGGAGGACCAACGTTTTCCCCACGAGAGCCCAGCCCTCCCCTCTTCTTCCTGTTTCCACCTTTTATTGCTGAGCGTGACACCACATGGTATGGAATAGCCCTTTGGTTGGGTTAGGTCAGCTGCCCTGGTGATGTTTCTTTTCTCACTTTTTTTGCCCACCCCCTAGGAGGGTTGGAGGGAGCCCTGATGCGGTGCCAGCACTGCTCAGCAGCAGACACAACACTGGGATGATAACGCTGCTGTTCCAGCTCCAAGTGCAGAGCACAGCACTGCGTGGGCTGCTGCAGGGAAAGGTAACATCCCAGCCAGACCCAGCACAGCCGCTCATCAACTTACAAGCAAAGCTAAAAAAATAATAAATCAAAAAATAAGAAATCACAACCCTGTAATTAATAAACGGGAATGGGAATCTTACAACCAGTGGCTAGAAAGAGGTGATCCAAGTCTGAATTGGTATTACTGAGATGACTTCAAGGGCGTGGGATACAGTTTCTCAGAGCACTGGTCATACCACAGGACTGAGCTACCTCTGAGCCTACCGAAAGAAGGAACAGCATCATGGCAACAGCAGCGGCTGAATTCTGTTTCCTCACCAGATCTCTTAACTGAGAGTTTCAGTGCCTTGCAGCATTGCTTCATCCACAGTCACTTATCCTTAATTCCCCCACACCTCCCTCTACAAAAGCAGAACTGTGAGGCTTCTATGAATGTGAGAAACCCATCTGTCTTGTTCTGCTTTCTATGTTTTATGTAAAAGTACTGTCTGGGGCATGAGCTACTTTCGGGACACCTCTGCCATTTGAAGTGCTGGGGTCTGACTGTCCGGTCTCCAGCTCTGTGCACTCATTAACACCTGCAGTGTTATTAGGATGTGCTCCAGGAATGCATCTCTCCTTTGGTTTCATCTTAAAGAAACTGAGTTTACATGCTCAAGTGATTTATCTGTGATACAAGCTGCAGCATAGTGTAGAGGAATAAACAAATGATGTATTTAGGAAGGGAACTTGAACCAAACGCATCACTGTACAGACACCCACTGGAAGCTGCTGCTGAACCCATACTTCAAGGATGCTCTGGGAAGGAGACAGCCAAGTGTTTTGAAATATTTTCAAATCTTTCATTTTAATCTGCTTTACCCAGGCCCTGTGTCTTCTGTAAGACATTTGCAAAATAAACGTGCAATTAATTACTGTGTGTTCATTTGTTCACCATAACACAGTAATGCTGTTAGTGCAGATGGGGGTAAAAGCGACACATCTCAAGCAGCACCCAACAGTCCCCCATTTTTCTTCCTGCATTCCCCTTTTTATTCGTAGAACACCTTCAATTCATTCCATTACACAAGACAGAGATAATTGTGCTAGGTACAATCCCCCGTTTCATTCTCCAAGCACAGCTTGTGTGCTCTGAAGGAGGCAGAGCTCTGGCGTAACCCAACTCTGTCCCTTTAATAGTAACCAAGGCTGCAACATCTACAACTAGCAAGGGACCGAATTAATCCTGCAAAGGCAGCTTTAATCCCAGACTTGCCCAATTCAAGTGCTTGACTTTCAGCTTAACAGCCTTTAAACGCAACAGTCAGAAATAAAACAGGTTACACGATGCATTAAAAAACAAAACCAGAACTGGTCACGCAGAACCATTTCAACACATTTACATAGACTACCAGAAAGCCTTAAGACAGATTTAAAAATAAACCAAACCCCCCGCAAAGATTACTAGTGTAAATGTACGCTGTATTAAAATTTCACTGCATGAACACTAGTCAGTAATAAAGTTGATCCAAAACACTCCTGCTCTCTTTGGTTCATCCTATCTGCACACCACAGTTCACACCTTCTGCAGCTCTGCTGGTTGTCTTGGGTTTATGTGGCAAGGTTTTGGTAGCAGGGGGGCCGCAGGGGTGGCCTCTGTGAACAAAGCCCAGCAGCTGCCCCATGCCAGAGCAGTGCCAGCTCCAGCCAGCTCCAAAAGGGACCCACTGCTGGCCAGAGCTGAGCCAGGGAGTGATGCTGGGTGGGTGCTCTGGGAGAGCAGAGATAAGGAAGAGGAAAAATGCCATGCAACAGCAGCTGGGAGAGGAGAGTGAGAGCACTGAGACACCCAGCCCTGCAGCCCCCAGGTGAGTGCAGCAGGAGGGCAGGAGGTGCTGCAGGCAGGCAGCAGCAGTTCCCCTGCACGGCCTGTGCAGGAGAGGCCCCTGGTGGAGCAGGCTGTCCCCCTGCAGCCCATGGGTCCCACACTGGAGCAGATCTCCACACTGCAGCCCCCCATGGGTAGAGGAGCCCCCGTGGAGCAGGTGGATGTGGCCTGGAGGAGGCTGCGGCCCATGGAGAGCCCCTGCAGGAGCAGGGGGTCTGGGGGGAGCTGCTGCCCACCCGTGGGGGACCCGTGCTGGAGCAGTTTGCTCCTGGGGGATGGACCCCGTGGGACGGAGCCGTGTGGGAGCAGTGCTTGAAGAGCTGCTGCCTGTGGGCAGCTCCCGCAGGCCCAGTTGGGGAAGGACGGCATCCATGGGAGGGACCCCACAGGGAGCAGGGGCAGGGAGGGACCAGCGGAGACCAAGCATCAGGGACTGACCGCAGCCCCCATTCCCCAATCCCCTGCAGTGCTTGGGGGGAGGACGTAAGAGATGGTGGGTGGATGGAAGGTGTTTTTAGTGTGCTTTAATTTCTCACTGCTCTAGTCTGCTAGTGATACGCATGAAATTATATTGATCTCCCTATGCTGAGTCTGTTTTATCTGTGACGGTAATTGTTGAGGGATCTCCCTGTCCTTATCTTAACCCTTAAGCTCTTTCCATTGTATTTTTCCCCCTTTTCCTTTGAGGAGGGGGAGTGAGAGAGCAGCTGTGGTGGAGTTCAGCTGCCGAGCTGCGTAAAATCACCACACTCATACAAATATTTGCCAGCCTGCATCACAGGCCAGGTTAGGCAATAAATAGAAAACAAATATTTCTTTTCAAATGCTGGTCAGTACTCACAGTAAAGCACCATGTCAGAAACAATTGCTCTGGCACAACTGAAGAGGCAGCAAACTGTGGCAGCGCAGCAGCTTTAGGAAGACAAGAACTCCTTACAACAACTTTCCACTAAAGCTGATGTAAGGCTGCTGGCACTCAACCCCGATACAAACAGCATGCCTAGCATTGTGTAGATAACAGAGCTATGCCAGCCTGTAGATCTGATTCCAGGTTTTTGAGGAATTATAATTCCTCAGCTGAAGATTATTTTGCCTAAGCCCTTTCCTGTCAGCCTCCAGATAATCACCTTCTACTCTCTCCAACCGTTTTTCCCAGCCGTCTTCACTACTGACTGGAAACAAAGCTACTTCCTATTTTCTTCCCTGGTGTTGGGGTGACATCAAGGAAACGGAGCACACCAAAAGATCTCCCACCGTCTGTGTTCAGCTGCTACAGCAGCTGCGGCTCTTCAGGAGGCACAGTGACAGCGAGACTCCAGGTCCAGCAGAGGTAAGTGCAGCAGAAGTGCCTGCAGCCTTCCTTTGAGAGCTTGGGAAGAAATTGTGCTGTCAGCCTTCAACAGCCCCTTACCGATATCAGGCTTCGGAGACTGGAGTACCACGTTCGGCCAGATGATTATCATTGTATATATATATATATATATATATATTTTGAACAAGGGCAGAAAAAGACACCTCTACTACTTCAAAATGACTTTCTGCAAAAAGGAAGGCTCTACTCTTGAAAGCTCTTCACAAGCAAAGGATGAAAAAGCTTTCTCTTTGGCTCAGCAGTTCATTATCTTCAGCAGCTACCTGCCCTCGCGGTGTTAGATCCCCTTCTGTTCCTCTGTCCCTCACACTCCTGCCTCCTGCTCCCAGCCCTCTGGGACCCTCCTCTTCCTTTTACCAGCTCTGCTGCCCGTTTGACCTCCAAGTAAGTTGATTCAGCTCCCTAAAATGAAGCAGGAAAAAGAAAAAAAATCAACCCAGCCTTTTAGAAGCTTGCTCTTTTATAAGGTTAGAAGATTAATCAGCTCACCGAGAGGTCAGACACCTCAGAGCTGCCGCAAGAGAAGCCATGAAACTGCTCATTCTTTGTCAGCAAGTCGCTCCATCAGCCTTGCTGATCTGAAACATCACTTTCAGAAGCAAAGACATCCCCAGCGCTGGAACTTTACAACCAGAACCAGGCCGACTTGTGAGAAGTTTAAACATAACAGCTTACACCTGCATGTACATAAGCGACTAAAATAAGATGTCGATGTTGCCTGCTGACACCCATTATAGCCACGTAGCTGTCAGCTGAATGTTACTGGCATGTTGGGGGTGGCAGTGGGACAGGCTGTGCCCTGAGACACGTAAGGGGATGCAGCGCTGCAGCAAGGAGGTGTCAGGGCTGAGAGAAACCACAGGCAGGACCAGAAAACACAAGGGAAGAGGAAGGGGTGCACACAGAGGGGGCAGGCAACAAGCGGGGGTTAAGGGTGGTTTTAACAGGGAAATGCACACGTAACCGTGGTGGGGGGGAACCCACCAAAACCCAGAGGAGCACAGACTGGGGGACCCAGCTGAGAAATACCAGGGGCTCCCTGCGGTTCCCAGGTGAGCGCGGGCAAGTTGTAAGAGCTCAGCTGTAAGCGCCTGCAGAGGCTGCGATGGCTCTGCTTGCTCTCGTGCTGTTTCAGACACCGGGGGAAAAAAGTCTCCTTCTCCATCAAGAGTCCAGATGCAGAAGCAGCCTACACTGCTTGAACTTCTGCTCGAGCATCCTGTGCTGGATTTTATTATTTGAGCTTGACCACAGCTTATCAAATGCCTTTTCTTAGATGCAGAACCACAAGCTTTGAACCTGCAGAGAGAGCAAGGTGGTTTGCACTTCTGGCATCTTCTTCTAACTACGTATTTGAGTGATCTCCTGCTGCAGGTTGGGCGATTTTGTCTTTCTGGGTTTTACAAAATGTGATTTCAGCTGCTAATGCTGTGTTTTTCACTGCAGACAACGCTGAAAACTTTCTCCAGGATGACAAATACATTTCACTTCCAGTAGGTCAGCAGCAGCAGAGACTTACTGGTATGAAGATGGGCATAAAGTCAAATAAGTAACGCATTTGTTACGTGTGTGACATCGGTATACTATTTTCCAACTATTTAACCCACAGGCATACAGACAAAGAAATTTAAGGACAGGAAAAGAAGAAATTCTCCAACATTGCGCAGTCTTTTCGCCCTTTACCACAGAGAGATAACCAGCAGTTGTCCTGCCACAGACCAGACATCCTATTAGAAATTAAAAACCATTTTCCACACCCAGACCATACCCGCAGTTTTGCCCACTGACACTCAGCACAGCTCCTCCTGACCCGCAGCACTCTACAAAATCCCAGACCACCACCACAAGGCTCCGCTTGCCCTTCACACCCCTGTTCAGGAGCGAGCAGCAAAGGCTGCGATTTCACCTCATTCCCAGCCCTGCCTAATCGGGGATTGCTCGGGCGAGGATCAGCGCGTGCCTCCTCCCCCTGCAAGGAAGGACGAGCTCCCTGTCAGACCAGAAAACTGACCCAGCTCACGGGGGGATTGCACAACCACTGGATGGAAGGGAGAGGGCAGGAACAGCTTCTCTCATCCTTCTTGGAAGATTTAAACACATTAAAAGCGGTTTGATAAAATGTTTGTCCTGGCCTCAACACGTCGACCGAGAAGTGTGTGACTCGACATCCAAATTGCTGTAATAAAAATCAAGAGACTAAGAAGTTTTCAAATCCCTTTCCCTAAGGAAGCCTTCGGTTTTCATTCCTCTGAGTTTTGTAACACTGCCACTAAAATCTCCGATGGGACAAGCCCCAGAGACCCAGTGGCAGAGCGTGCAGTTTAAACACTTGATGAATTATCCCCAGAAATATTTCATTTGACTTTTTGATAAGAGACGCGTGAAATCACGAAAGTGGAGGGGAGCTGCACACCAGATGTGTATGGCTGCGCGCCCGCTGCGGGCTGGGTTTATAATTTTATTGGCAACGCTGAGATAACGCTTAGCAAGCTGGATAATCCTCCAGTCACCTGCTTTGCTACATGAGCCGCTCTCGTTTTGTTTAACTGGCCCAATTCACAACAAAACCGTATTTACGTTCTGCTTTTAAGTTTGCTGGCATAGTGAAAATGACAAACCCTAATTATGGGAACATGCTCATTAATACAGAGAGTTGTTTTTTTTTATGGGAATGGTGAATTTTGGGTGGGAAGAGAAGTTAATTATACCCACGTAAGATGATTTCCTACCAACAGAATTTTTACGCTACGGTTTGCACAAGAATAAAGGAGACGGGGGCAAAAGTCACGTACTTAATCTTAACGCAGAACTTTTATAAAAGCTGGAATGTGGGCTGAGCCTAAAAGCTCGCCGAGTGAGCAACTCGGCAGTTTTCAGGATTTGGGGTGTGCAGGTCTCTTCTACCACCTGGAGGGATCTAAAGAAAAGTCCACGCAGCCATCGCTAAGAGCACACTGTAAGAGTGGGGAGGCAACAGCAATTGGACGTGAGTCAAGCAGGAGACTTACAGGGTCACAAAAAGCACGTGGAAGATCTTCAGCTCCAAGTCCCCGTGCACTTGGAGCTGGGTGTCTCGGCTTTGTCCATTCATTTATTAAGCAAACCTCCTCCTCCACTTGCACTAGTGACCAAGAACACTGCAGCTTTTCTTTACGCCTCTGAAGAACGCGCAAGAAAGGAGCTGCTCCTCTTTTTGCTAAATTTGCGGGCAGTTTGGCCGCTGACCTCAATAGCTGCAGGGCTGCACCCAGAGTTAGGTCCTGACACAAGACAAATTCCTTCTAGTTGGGTCAGACGGACCTGGCTGCAGCAAAGAGTGGTTGGCAATCGCTGTAATTCTGCTGCTTTTCCTCCCGTGTTTCCTAACTTGCTTTAAAAGGATTCCTGTGAGACATATTTGCTGGACAAGGACACTATTGCTGCAAAACCCTCCTAAGATGCTCAAAAACATATTCAGACCAGGAAGTCAATCAGCTGGAGCCAAAGCAGCCCTCACATTTGTTACCTGGTGGGTGCTACTGCTACTTCCCCAGCTCCTAATCTATTGGGGCATCAGGCTCGGTGCCTGCCTGCGCGCGAGCCCCACGGTGCTGGAAGGAAATGAGAGGCGGGGTGATGGGGACCTGGGCTGACCTCAGAGCGAGAGGTGCCCCTGAGCTGACCACAACTTAGAGAGGGGACGACGGGGAATGAATCACAACCCAGAGGTTACTCACGCTGCTAAGCGCTGATGTGCGATAAACCACGGGCAAGGAGGCTGGTGCTCTGAGGAGAAAGGGAAAAAATATTTCTTCCTTTCCCAAAGAAAGGAATTTGATCGTAGATGAATTACTGTGAAAGGACAAGTTTTGCAACTCAGCTATTTTTGAAATTATTTGGGCAAAGGACTTTTAATGCCTTTTTATTACAGATTGCACAGAAGATTTTGCATAGCGAAGAGGGGAAGACAAAAAAAAGCTGACAATCAGGACTGATTGATTTTAAAACTATTTTTTCATGGAATGCGAGATCTTTAGAGCTGATGGTAGTGTGTGTGTGTGTCTGGGGGGGGGTAGAATGAGTTTAGGAAGGTAGAAAAGTTGTTCAGCTCTTTATTGTTTTGTTCGTAACACACACCTGCACTATTGGAGAACAGCGTAACACCTGAAGTAGCTGGTGAACGACAGCAACAGCTTTTTTGTTGTTTTATTTCACTGCCAAATGAAAGATGTAATAGAATTGCTGTCTTAAATATTATTGCTAAAGAAAAAAAGGAAAAGTTCCCAGCACGTTAAATAATATTGAATCTACAGCATAAATATTTGAGGAAAGCGACTCCCTCTGCACAAAATGTCTATTTTAAAGTACTGCTTCTTCCAATCTTTCCCTTTACAACAGAGGATTGTGCAGCATCAAGACTTTTTCCTTCCCCTTTTTCTGAGGATCTCTGACCATTCAATGTAGCAGCGTTCACTACAAAGCAGTTCACTTGCTCTAAAGCTGAGAATTTCTTTTAATGAGCGCTGGAAGCAGCTGCAACTGTAGCGTGTGACTCACAGCACAGCACCTCTGAGCGCAGTAGGAGCTATAGGGTGGTTGCAGCCCCGTTTCCTCTCCCCGGCTCCTCCTTCCTCTCCCCAGTAAGGCCACGCTTGTTTATAGACCAGAGTTATCACTGCTGTGCAGACAAAACAACTTTCAGAACCTTGAGAACTAAAAATGGCAACTCCTTGATGTTTTTAACGCTGACTGCTTGACGGCTACTGAAGTTCAAAAATAAACAGCTTCAGTACACCATGGCAGCTCACGGCTTTCCGTGAAGTTGTCCACTCAAACCCTAAGGAAAGCTTAGCCGGCCATTTCTATATAGATGATCACGGCACCAGCTGTCTGATTCTCTGAGCACCAGTATTCTCTGGCATCACACACACAGGAGAAAGATGAGCTCAGAAACCCTGTGTCTTAGAGACAGCCAGCTTCTGGTGATCTGCACAGGAGGAAAAGTGAGGGCACGTGGTCTCCCTTATGGTCTTTGTGTACAATTAAATGTACAGAGCAAACAGGACTCATGGAACTCCTTATATGCTATTGCTGCTTTTCACATGAAGTTAAATTGCTAATACGTACTAAAGGATAAGTCGCTGTAGGTGTTTAAAAACACATCCAGCTCATTATGGCTTTGATCCCACAGTTGGGATCACAGGCAATGCTGAATGTGATCAAATCGGAGGAGGACCACCACTGAAAATGAGACGCAGTCACCCACTCAGTTCTCATCTGCAATGGGATCGTAGCTCCAGCAGGCTCTGGGGAGCTCAAAGCTGGAGAAAACCCCAATAAATCCTCATCTGACACACGCCGTTGTAGCTGAGGACCCCACGAGCTGTCACCTGTGACACCTCCCCGCAAGTCCCTACTGAGAACGTGTATTTGTAAATTCTTTCAGCGGTCACAATCCAGCCACACTCGGTGGATTTTCTACAGGTAGGTTCTTCTGAGAGGACAACTCTTGTACCACGAGTGCAAGAAAAGCTTCAGACAGAAAAGGATGTGAGATCCTCATCCACTCAAGAGCTGGCCACATCATTTGTTTTCTGCAAACAGTTTTTATAAAAACAGTAGCTACGGTTTGCTCAAAACTTTCCCCCCCAAGAACATCAGCACAAGGCTGGTGGAAAATTTTAGTCAAGGCAGTCGGTTCGTCCGTTGGAGCAAAGTCAGAAGAGAGGGCTGTAACTGGCAGCGCTCGGGCCACACAAATACAGAGCAGTACCTGCTCTACCTGTAAAATGGATTTACTGCTCCCGATTCGGTATTAAAATTAAAAATTGGTTGTATAAAAACGTGTTTAGAAAGAAGCCGTGCTTCTGTGTTGACATTGTCCTAAGGATAAAAATATTCGTGGTATCTTAACTGTTAATGACTAAACCGTTGCTGTACTTGAAAAAAATTGAGGTTGTGTGGTCCAACATAATCTTGTACCTACAGCCTACTAGTGCTACTGTACTTCCAACAGCAAAAACTGCTTTTAGACAAAAAAAATAAATGTTTTTAGAAACATAGTTTTTAAACAAACGTCATTTTATCCTTGAGAAGCGCTCGCTCAGTATGCGATGAGGTCCTGCCTCATGGAAACGACTGCTTTAAATGAAGCATTTCTGGGATTTTGTGCGAGCAAAACCCTACGTGAGAGAGTTTGGAGTTGAAACTTGCGGGGCGCTGAGGCAGAACCCCTCACAACCGCCCCCCCACCCCCCTCACGGGGCCGCCAACCGCCCCCTCAGCCGCGGCCAGGCGCATGCGCAGTTCCGCGCTTCGGGCGGCGGGAGGAGGAGGAGGAGGGGGAGGAGCGGCGCGGGCGCGGCGCATGCGCAGAGCGCGGGGCCGGAGGGCGTTGAGGCGGGGGGGGGTTGGGGGGGGGGCGGCGGGGCGATGTGGCGGGTGCGTGCCGCCAGGCGGGAGGGCGACGCGGCGCGTTTCGTAACCGGCGCAGGCGCGCTCCGCCGCCGGGGTGGAAAGAAGGAGAAGGAGAGGGAAGGAGGGGAAAGGCTGAAAAAAAATAAAAATAAAGAATTAAAAAAAAAACACCTCAGAGTTACGTCAGGAAAAGACGCCGCTGGTACACCGCGGGGGGCGGAGGAGGAGGAAGGAGGGGGGGGGGGGGGGGAGGCTTGGCCCGCGCCTGCTCGGCTCCCCCCGCCTCATGCTGAGGGGAGGGCCGGGGGGCGCGAGCCGCGGCCGTTAACTCACCCGCTGCCCGCCTCAGCGCGGCCCCCCGCGGCCGCCCCGCTTCACGGCTCCCCCGCCGCCGCCGCCGCCGCTGCCGCCGCCGTGATTCCATCCATCTTGAATTTGACGTCATCCCACACCAGGGATGAGGTCATCGCGGGGAGCGCTCGTCACGTGCGCGGCGCTCCCATTGGTCCGCCCGACGGAGCCTTGTGGGGGGGAGGGGGGGGAGGCGGCGCGGGCACGGGGACGAGGGGATCCCCCCCCTCCCTCCCCCCCCCCCTCCTCCTCCTCCTCCTCCTCCTCCTCCACACCCCGCACCGCCCCTCCCCGTTAACGGCCGCCCGCGCGCGGGAGGGAAACTGAGGCAGCGGGGGTGGGTTCGGGGGGGGGGGGCGTCGTGAGGGGATTAACGGCGAGCATCGGTCTGCCTGGGGAAGGGGCTGGCAGGGGGCGGGTGGGTCCCTTGTATCTGCTCAGGGATGTGTCAGCCAAGCAGAAAGCAACGGGTCTGGTGTAATCTTCTCGTCCCCGGTTCTCTCCACAGGACCTGTGTCACGGATGGGGGACGTCCACGCTGGAATCACCTGCTGAACAGGCCGTGTTCGTCAAGGTCTACACATGTAGAAATACGCCTTTCCGTGCGGCTGCTGTCAATACTCGTAATTTGCCAGTTTCTCCAGGGAAAGTGCAGCTGTTTGAACAGAGCCTGTGTACTGGCTTGTGTAATGCTGGTACCAGAGAGCGATTAATCTCTGTAGCCCTTACCTTAAGCAGATGATTTGAGAGAATTTTGAAGATAATTCTCAAAGGTTTTGTGGTTTCAAGAGACACGAGACTCAATCTGGCTGCATTTCATATTTGAGTCTAGTTGACATTATTAACATCGCGTAGATGCTTCAATTCCCTTAAGTCAGATTTTTCCTGATTGCAGTGAAACGTAGGCAAGGAATTCACGTGCTAGAGCTAGTTGGGGTTTGAGTTGTCTCTTAAGGAGGTTAACTTTGTCAAATGTGTTCATTCACAATTGTTTGAATACTTTCTCATTCTTTAAGAATAGCATGGTTATGATTTTTTTTTTAAAAACATTTCTAATTTTAAATGCTTTGATGGAGCATTCTCCCTCTATATATGTGTGGCTGCAGCTGTTATTACCAGATGCACGTTTGATCAGTGTAAGGTTTGCTTTCCATTCAGAGTATCCAGTAGCTGCTCGGATTAACTGTTGGTCACTCTTGCCAGCGAGATTAATCACTGGAATTTTGTTAAAACACAATCCCCTGCAAAACATGAACATAAAGCAAACTATATAAGAAGGATGAATGATTATATATGGACCTGGTGAGAAAGCATGTATATGAAAACTTAAACACTTGCTTTGATTGTATGTGTATGTATAAGAAGCTACTCTTTTATGATGTAAATGTATTTTACAACAGGACCAAATTGTGTATGCTGTACAGTTTGCTTTTGTAATGTTAACATTTGTTTCATTTAAAATATAACAATATTTGGAAGGAGATCATGTCCTTGAGATAGGCTTTTTCTAGATCTGTAGTTTCAAAGTTATTTTTGATTTGTAGACCCCTAGATTTTTTCAGTGAAGGTTTGGACTCTGTGTCTTTGATTTAAAACCAATAACATCAGGTTATTTTATTTTACAGTTCTAGAAGTTTCTCACATACGCTTTGGCCCCATATATTAGCAGCTGAGATAAGGTTTTGTAGAGAAAAGCTTGATTTGGGGGAAGAGGAGGAGAGAGGTTAAAGAAAGAAGGAGCATCAGAAGGAAAGTCGTGCAGTTTAACTTTCCTTCATTTTAGAGGGGAAACCTTGGCTGGGTATTTTTTATACCCAATTTTTTTTTTTTTTTTAATTTTGGTAAATTTTCTGAGTCTTCTGTCTGTTCTGTACTTTGGGGGCGTAATGTGCTGTGGATGTGTATGCCACATATGCAGCAGGATATGCTGCTGCCCTGTCCTCTCCTTGCAGGCAGTGTGGCTTCTCAAATGCTACAGTTCTCTCCTAGCTGCTGGAAGAGCAGAAATACAGTACCGCGGGGGCCAGCGTGTGATGTGTTGTTTCCACCAAAACCCTTGGAATTATTATTGCCAATGACATACTGGAGAGGGAGCTAATTAATTTCTAAAAAGTGTGCCAGCTCCCCCAATTGGCCCCAAGACTTTGTGGTAGAGCAGGCGCTAATGCTTTGGAGCACACTGACCCTTCCCCTGCAATCCCAGAACCTCTGGGAAGCAAAGTGCTGTTACCTGTCATGCAGAGAACGGCTGCATGAACCCGTTCCTCTCTGCCCCTGCAGAATACAGCAAATGCTCCTGGAAATACCAGAGGTCTCGCTTTATTGATCCCAAATACTCTGCCAAAACACAGGTAAAGTATGACTTGCCAAAATACACAGATACAATTTTTCACCAGTTTCTCAATACTGACAGCTGTCCATGGAAAAGAACATGTGTTTTATCTTTGGTTTTGTTCTTGCACGTTCATATAAAACTTCCCATCATGACTGTTAGCAGGTAAAAGGAAATTTTATTCCTTCTAGGTAGAGCTGTCACTGCTCATCACAAAAATATGACACTCAGAGAATGGGAGCTGACTGACAACCAGGCAGTAAGATATGCAACGCAAATATTGCAAATACAACAGTGTTTCCATAACCCATGCAAAGCATGGGACACAAACAAAACTCTTTCTGGAGTTTTAAATTTTTAACAGGAAAATAGCTATAATATGATATAACGTAAGACTCCCCTCTTCATCCCTGTTTTCGCAGTTTTGTAGTGCCAAGTTCTGAGCTTTTTTAGCTGTCACCCTCATACTTCTGCAAATAGCAGAATCTAGTTAATATTTTCCACTCAGAATCCACATGATTCTAGCAGCGTGGACAGTTTCAGATAAAAGCTGCCAGATAACGACAAGCTAGATATTACCACAGAAAGCTGCTCAATGGGGGTAAGCAGATGCATACTTAAAAAGGTGATAGTTCTGTGGGTCAAACAATGCTGCGGAGAATAGCAGGCTACAAAATATTAAGGCATGCATTCTCTAAGCAGGCAGCTGGTCACGGTACCGCCCTTATTGTTTAAAAGAATAATGTATCTTCGCTTGCAACTAGTAAGCCATTCAGGGATGCTTTCAAAAGTATGTTGATAAAAGCAAGCTGCCAGACTGACTGAAATACAAAATTTGTCACGGTGCAACAGACAGGGAGTGATTTCATGTTATCGGTTTTCACAGCTATGGTTAACTTCGGCTGCAGTTTGGCTTCTCAGGTCTTCTAAAAATAAAATCCAGAGTATTCTGATTACAGTTGACATGTGTAAGACAGTTTTATAAAGTAGCTTTGATTTCCTAATGAATGTGTGTATCCTGGCTCTTTATTTTAGACAAAGCGTACGAATGGAAATTTAGGAAAGAGCAAATGGAAAGACAGACGATATGGCAAGCGTTTTCCATAATTCTGTCCATACACTAATGCCAAACGAAGAAAAGCTAAGCAAAATGAAGTGTTTCATGATTGTTATATATATATATACATATATATAAATATATAAAAGGGCTCATGCTTTTGTGTAAAAATGTGCAAAATTTACTTTCAGGAAAAAAATAAATGGATTGACAGTGGGAAATCTTGCATTAGCATGATAGTGATGTTTATCCTCCTGTTTTCCTGTAAACGTGGCTTTAGGGATCAAATTTCTTGGCAGGGAGCACAGTGAATGTAGCCTCGGTTCTCTACGTCTCTCTATAAGTGAATCAGAGAGCACCAAAGAGCTACTCATGCGGTGGAGTATTTAAGAAGTCAGCTTGATGCCTTAATTCCTCGGCAGCAGTTTGGCCTCAAACAGCAATCTTCTGGGGTGAGAGATTGCGCAGAGATGGATAGCAATTTTCGGAGCTGCAGCAAGTGCGTTTTGTTTGTGCATTGTTAAGATGCCAAAAAAAATGTGGGGTATTACGAGTAGATTATTTTTCTCTTCAGAGGACTGTATCCGAACGTTAGAAATGATTTGCGGTAATTTCCCACTACGTAGAAAATACAAACACCAGGAAGCAAACCTATTGGCTTACTGAAAAATTGCCTGCGTTTGTTTGCTCGATCAAACGGTGTCGGAAGAGTTGTTCTATTTCTATATGGCATTTTTCACTTTATGCAGCCTAAAAGCATTCACTGCACCTGAGGGAGCTGTTTTGTCACTAGGCTATTTCACACAGGATGTTTACTTGCTGCTCCTACGACTACCAAATACACATTTTATAACAATTTCTAACAACTTTAGACTTAACGTAGTGCCTTTCTGTGCACAGTAAAGATGTGACTGTGATAACGAGTTCGGGAACTGAAACTTTCTTTCGGGCCGTGAAGACAGAAATGCAGCCCTGTGACAGCTGTCTGTCAGCTTTTGCATTTGATGGCCTGTGCAGCCTTGTTGATGTCATCGCAGTACTGATTTATTCATCGCTGAGTAGAAAGTTAAAGCAGCACAGCAGAAATAAGCAAAGATCCTGAATTATTGATGTCTTTATGTTCACGCTACTGGCTGATTTCCTTATCACCAGTTCAGTGCCATTGAATTACATTCCTTGTGTGATGAAACCAGAAAGGGGATTTATTTGTAAACGTTGCTTTGCAGTTCTGACTGCCCAACATCTCTAGGAGGGCTGGGGAATAGGAAATGGTGCTCTGAAAGAGGCCTTTTCACATGACCTGCATTTCTGCCTACGTGATGCTCTTCCCCCCCTTCCCTGTGGCAGTTCATGTATGAGACAATTATATATGGACAGCAGAGGCCGGCTGCCTCTCTGTACAAGCATCGTGCTGCTTCACCACCTGATGACTTCTTACAACATCTGCCCTGGTGCTGTCACTGGCATTAAAAAATAGACAATGAAACAAGCAAAACCTTTCAAAGTTTTGCCCTAGCCAAACTACCCAGAGTTTTAATCAGAGGTTGAAGATCCACGGCAGCTCCCTACACAGCTACGTCGATGGCAGGCCTCACACCACCAGGCCTCACTTGGCCTCGGAGTTACAAACTCAGCCAGTGAGATGGGAACATAGAAAGGAAGATCTCAGTTCTTCACACTGAGCTATGGTTGTACGGTGGTACAAATGCACGTACACTGCACAATTCAGCCAATTTTGCTGAAAATGTGCACTTCTACCCAGCAGGCGATTGTTTTTGGGCAGACTGCAGTGAAGGCTCAGCATTCAAGTGCACGCGACATGCACTAGCACGTGACATGAGTATCTGTCTCTTTTTGCACAAATTGGGAAACTGAACTGAAGCCCTGCTAAAGAGGATGAAGAGAAGCAGAGATATTTTTGCTTTAAAATGTTTTTTAATTTTGTACTTTGTGTTATTTGTATGTCTGAACCGTCTGTACTGCAGATATGAGAAGATATTTTTTGAGCTACGGTATCTGATCTGAGAAGTCTTTGGCTTGTGCAGGTAAAAGGAATATTCTGACACCGCGTTAGGAGATGACGGCACTTACCAAGTGGCTCATTTAAAGCACAGAAAATGCTGGGAGTCTCAGAGTGGCACAGGAGGCCCTAACTGTTGCATCTTCAGTGTCTGTGGCCATTCTTTCTCTTTTTATGGTCTCCTCATATTTCTGCAGTAGCACAAAGTAGTAGTGAGGTTGTCTTTAAATACAAAAGGGAAGTTCCCTGTTGGAGGTGAAAACACAGATTTCCCATTTGTGTGGATGATGGAGGTATTTGAAGTGGGAAAAGGTGGAGGGTGCCCTGCTGCCAGGACAACATACGGGATACCTGATATGCTGGCAGAGGAGATTAGTTTGGTGGTCTCCAGACAAGAGGAGGTGGTTGGCTGTGGTGATTTAAAGCAACTCCTAAATCCTGACGTCAGTGGTTGAGGAATCTGACCCTGCAGTCTCTTGTCAATGGACACTGGGGTTGCCGAAGGGCTGTGTTTATTCCCAGCTATCTGCGTGAAGGTGTGATGTGGAAAAGGAGCTGTCGTCTTCTCTCTGGCATGTTGCTCAGCTGCCTGGATTTGTTCTTTCTCCCCTTCAGCTGGGCATTTTTTCGTATAAATCATGGCTGTAAATTTAGGACTACGTGCAGGCTCCCTGCCTTGGGAACTTTTTCTGCATTGCTTCACACCTGCTGCAGACCTACGCTGGGATGAGAGCTAATTTGTGGTCTTTTTTATTTATTAGTACAACGCTGACCAGGAAGAGAGAAAGTGAAAGGGGATTCTATAATTCATGACACGTTTGACTTTTTAACGTTGATGAATTGATCTTTGGGTTATTTTGTCTCCTTAATGGACAGTGTCACTACAGACGGGAGATTGGCCAGCATGCGTGGTACTTGGCTTGGTGGCTAGCTTTTGTGCCGGATACCTGCAGAAGGGCAGAGCTGTCCATTTTCAACTATAGCTTCTGACAGGTAGATTCTCCACTGCACCTGGATAAAGCTATAGTAACCAACCCTGCCTTGTGGTTTTTGTTGGCCAAACATTTTTGGAAG